GCCCACATTTTGGTGCAGATGAAACGCAAAGAACACTGCAATTACATTTAGCAGCACGGTAATGAACCCAAGATGCACGGTTGAAATTATTATACCAAGAAAATAAAAGCGGAATAAGCTGATCGAGCAGATCAAGTTAATCCACGCAGACACATCACCTGACTAGAGTATAAAGTTGGGCATGTTGGTAAGACATGCTTAATCGACGCAGCGCGTTTTAAAACATAGGACAGGGGAAGGGACAGAAGGGAGCGCTTACTTCCAACAAAATTTTGTTTCAAGGAGCGTACATATATATGCTCATGAAATTCGAAAACAACAGACAAACAGATACAAAGAAGAAAGGATTAGTAGATTAGGGCTGAACTGCGTCAGCAATCCTTCTCTCGGTCTTTGTGAAAAAGAATTGTCGTTTTTGAGACAATAAGTTTTTAGCGCATGGCAATGGAGGGTTTTTCATCTGTTTGTCTGTTGTTTTCGAATTTCATGAGCATATATATGTACGCTCCTTGAAATGAAATTCTGTTGGAAGTAAGCGCTCCCTCCAGTCCCTTCCCCTGTCCTATGTTTTAAAACGCGCTACGTCGATTAAGTACATCACCTGAATCCACTTTTGCAGGCGTCTGAGCGCGGGCCGTCCACTCCAGGTGAAGTCGCCCTAAATGCGCTGCGCTTTCACCTCTGGCCCGCGCGATGCCACGGGTGAAGCAAACAAGAACGGGAAGAAGAAGGCCGCGAGTGGTCGACCGACTACGTCCGGGCGTAGGCGTACGAGACCCCCGACTTGGCTGGGTTCCCTCCGAGAACGACCGCGCCCTGCGGAAGAAGACGGGCCACGTCCCCTTCATGACCCCGCACGACTCTCGAACGACAGCTGTTTTGCCGACGCTGCCATCGCACCGAGGTTTCTTTTCCGGAGGCGTAAGCGCTGAGCGCCGAAGAAAAAAAAATCACAGCATATCCACGGAGTGAATGATGACTGGTGGGGCGCAGCGTTCGTCAGTCTGTCTGTCCATTCGTTCTTGCGTCCGCCTATCTGTGTGATCCTTGGTGCATCCGTCCGTTTGTTCATTCGTGTGTCTGTCCGTCCATCTCTTTTTGCAGCCATCCCTCTGTCTGTCCATCCGTCCGTGCGCCCCTCTGTCTGTCCGTCCGTGCGTGTGTCAGTCCGTTCGTCCGTCCGTGTGTCTAGAGAAAACTCCAAGCACAGCCGTCTCACATCTTTTCATCGTGTATTCATCGTATACAAGTGCCCCCATCCAGCAGATATTGTAAGGACCGCTATTTCGGGTATGTGCCACTGGTGGTTACGTACTACGAGGGACGCACAAGCCACGCCATAAGGAGCTTCGCCCCTAAAACGTCGCTGATCATAACGCTGTCACAATGACAATCTGGCCAGGTTTTGCAGCAGCCATCATCTGAATGAGAACTAACCGACAATGACGCCATGGAAAGTATAGGAGGTGTTATTAGTAATAATTGTAATGTAAATGTGAAGAAAGAAACGTGGAAGAAAACATAACTTGCCATGGGCAGGGAGTGAACCTGCGACCTTCAAACAGCGCGTCCCACGCTCTACCAACTGAGCTACACCAGCGATCACACCCCCCCCCCCCCCCGTAAATGTTATGGGATGTACCGACATTTTTTATACGGAGAGAATTTCCTCTTTTCTTGGCTGTTTCACGAGAGTACAAAAGCCGACGTCACAGCCTCGGCAGTGCATTTTTTTTTGTGGGGTCACGCGCGTGCCCAGAGAGCAGGGGCGGCGCCAGGGGGGGGGGGTCAAGGGTGGGCTGGAGCCCCCCCAAAGTTCTCGCCTGCCCCCCCTATGCCCACCCAAGTGCCCGGAAGCATATATTGAAAACCTAGTAGGAGCAGAGCTAGCTTGCACCCCCCGGAGGAACTCACTTTTCGTGGTTGCCCCCCCCCCCCCAGTAAAAACATCCTGGCGCCGCCCCTGCCAGAGAGGACTATGGCGGTGCCCAATGCTACGATGCGATGACTTTTTCACGAGATTTATGTCACGTAATGCTATAATGACGTCAGATTATGGTTATCCGTGACGTCATACGACGACGTAATCTCGTGATCATGATTTTCTGCATCACTCGTCCCCGACGCTGCGGCACGCTAGATGCCGATGGTCAACTGGACTGTCTTTTTGACTGCTGTTTCTTCGGTCTTGTTTTTCTTTTTCTCTTTAGGTAAAGCCAAAGCGTCATATGTGCGTCGTGAGTGAAGCAACTTTCCAGATTTGGCAATATATACCCAGTGGTCCATGGGGAGGTCTTGTCGGTTGTGGCGTGAACATGAATGATAAAAAAAAAGAAAACGACCAAGCAAGTTGGTCAAAAGTCATGCTGTACTCGTACATTCGTGCACCGGCGCGTACCGAAAGTCGCACGACCTCCATCTGACCTCAAGTCATATATGTCATAACTCATGACATATCGCAAAATTTTGCGACTTTAACGTCATGACCGCATGATGTGATGTGACATGTTGTCATCTAATGACATCATCGCTTACTTGAAGGTGAGCCGATCCCGGAGGCAGCACAATATCACATTAGGCATGAGATTGGAACGGCCTGGTTCTCCGATCTTGGAGGCTCACGAGTCATATGTCCCGTGAAAGATGCCCTGTCTGATTTTAAATACGCTTCACCACGAAAATTTAGTACGTTGCATCGGATCTGACTTATATTTCCATAGATAGCCATAAAGCTGTTGCAGTTTTCTGCGACATATGTGAATGAGCAAGCGTTTTCCAGGCTTGTATATTTCAAGAGGGAGCACACCTAAAGCAGGCTGCAGATCGTAAAACTGACTGACATGCTGTTGAGATCGAATTGGTGTGCTACTCAACCTTGACTATTCTACCCCAAAGAAAAATAAATGGTTCCTACTTCAGGCTGAATTTGTATTAGTATCACCCACACCGCCATCATTCCACAAGCGGTCGCCGAAACAGCCATGGTGAGAACCGCTGAATCTCATGCCCCCACCCGACGAGAACACGGAGCTCCGTATGAAGTACAAGAAAACGTATATTTTATTTACGGATATTTACAGGAAGAGACAATGAATTAAATAGCAGTGGACTAGAGCCTGATGATGATGAGGCCTCTCATGGATCGTATTCACTCAGGTGGGTTAGCCAAGAATTGATCCTGTCTCTTATCACTTCGAGTTCTACCTCTCCAGAGAAACCCTTTATTACATTGTGCAGCAAACGCACTACATCCTTGTTAAATATCAAGGCACTGTTTACCTTTACAATATATTTTTGTTCGTGTAACTCGCCTTTGCATGTTACTCACACCACCAACACCAAAGAGTCAAAGATAAAGCTTAAAAAAAAAAAACTGTTATTGCTGTGAAGCTTCTTTTTTGCATTAGTGCAAAGCAGTGCCGCGAAACCAACCTGCAATTTAAAGGAAGGTTTATACCAAATTTATCGAATTTCACGATATATCGAAAGAAACCCCGAAATATTGTAAGTTTGATATATGCGGATGTGACTGTACAGCCAAACCATACTATATTGTACATGTTTAAATTGAATTATTCTTTATACCGAACTCTTTTCGAACATGGCTATGTTTTGTAACGCCAATACACTAAAGATATACTAAACGTGCTGCACACGTCATGTAGCGAACAACGGGCAGCGTGAAATGCCTCAAAAATTAGGCTTTCTTAATGGGAGGGGAGTACTTGCCACCTCAAACCACACTAGCAGTTTCTCCCCCCTCCCCCTCAAGACCAACGTTGCTCAAGACAGCAGTGGCGTAAAGCCATAAAGCCCACAAGGGTAGTGACCTGGAACAGGGGGGGACACCGTAGAAGCGCCGAGCTAGCACCGCCGAAGGAGCCCGCGTAAAGTGAAGCCACAGCCTCCTAGATTTTCCTTGCCTGACTTGGGAAGCGGCCGTCGTCGAAACTGTGGTGATGGCGCCACTTAAGTAGGAATGTTTCAAACAAGTTTTTACGTTTTTGGAGCTTACATGCAACAAAAATGAAGTAAAAATTCAAAAACGTCAATATAATTATAATTATTTATAAATAATTTTCCGTAAGTGACGCCACCATAGATAGCGGGCGTTTCGCGATCATTCAACAGGCAACCCCTTCATTACAAGGCATAGCCTCTGAAACTAGCAAATGCCAAAGCTGCTTATCTTAAAGGCCGAGTAAAAATACTCTTAACCCTACGTAGGTAGCGCTGCCATAGATGACGGGTGTTTTTTGTTCATTCGGCAGTCAAAAAAAAAAATGTATATAAGAGGCTATGGTAAAGCCTAGAGTTATTGTATATGCTACCTTTAGGTATTATGCACAGTAACTCTAGTAAAGTCTGCCCACACTAGCGGCAGATTCCCCTCTAGGTATTGTTGTGTGAAATTCTAAGGAGCATAAAAAGAAAAATAAATAAATAAATAAGATGAAAAAATTCTTGATGAGGCAAAATTTAAAGCCACTGTCTTGTAAAAGAACAATAAAAATATTTTTTAAATAAGCGCAGAAATAGGTGGGATCAACGCCTCCAAGATTTCCCGTGCCTGCCAGATTATCGGCGGTCACTTGAAAAGTGGCGGTCGTCGGAACTATAGTGGTGGCGCCACTCAAGTAGGGATGTCTTCAAATAAGTTTTTATGTTTTTAGAGCTTATATGCAACAAAAATAACGTAAAAAATTTTGAAAAGGCGTAAACGTAATTGTAATTAACCCTACGTAAGTGACGCCGTCATTCAACAAACAACTTTTTAAATACAAAGCGTTCTTTAAAATTAGTAATAAACGCCAAAATTGCCGATCTCAAAGGCCAAGTACAAAACCCTTTATTCCTACGTAGGCAGCGCCGCCATAAACAACCGGTGTTTCGTGCTCATTCGGCAGGCACAAGAAATCTAGGAGGCGTTGGTGGGATAGAAAGGTGAAAATGCAAAGCCTAGCCACGCCTGGCCAAGCCAAGACCAGCTTAGTGGCCGTTGAAGTTTCGACGCCGGTGAAATACTCCGTGCGGGACGTGACAACCAGCCCGAATTGACGAACACCGATGTTAGTCGGTATTACTAACTAGCTCCGGTAACTATCTGAGTGTTATCAAGCTGAGTGCGCGTTTTAGAAGCAGCCTCACAGAATGGATCACGTTTATTCTGTGTTGAAGCGGTTTCCCAGCTCCGTACCTTCAAGCACAGAATGGTAAGACACCCTCAGCATCGTGCGCGAATTCACATACGTTGTATGTTTCGACGAAATGCCGCCGCGAATTGTGTCTGTGGTGGATGCCATGTTCAATGGCTTATGTCTGCACTTCAGGCTCACGGAAAGCAAGACTGTCTGCTCTGTGTCCAGTCACAACACGCTTGCGTTCACCTCGTCGTCAGACGTTCAGGAACCCGTCGGGAAAATCACCTGCTTTCATGTGTTTGTTGTGGACCTCAACATGCCATGGGAAGCGCACAAGTGAGTTACGGACAACGTGCTCGTTTACGCTCAGCTTTTGCAAGCTGCCCCGTTATGCACAAGAAACATTAAAGCGTTGACAGGCAGTCGCATTTTCACAACCAAAAGTCTTCACCTTATTGTTCTTATTTCCAGAGTAATGACGCACTCCGAAGAAATTACGTGTGTTGAATGGGACGTTGGTGCTTCCAAGCTGCTGATTACTGACGCTGTCGGGCAAATTCAGCTGTGGTCCATGAAGGTGCGTTGCGATAAACACGCGTGTGGTGCTTTACCGTTGATCACCTCATTTGCCATTGCCCACCTTTCTTTATTTTTTTTTTTGCAGAGTTATTTGTTAAATGACTGGACCATGATCGCTTCTACGTCGTTTCCTGGCGAGTACATTCTGACGGGCGCCTGGTTTCACAATGGAAAAAAGGTTCGTCCTAAACCAACTTTCTATAGGAAGAAACACTTTGGTTGCGGTGAAAGCGTTCTCATTATGTACTGCTTGAGGGGCCAGTTGTTTCGCTTGTTGAAGTTTTTGAAGTTTGAAGTTTATTCACATGAAATAAGTACACTTTGTTTGCAAACACTGTATGACCCCTTAGCCGAAGGCTAGTATTGGGGTAATTTACAGACATATAACTATAGAAATATCTATTAATAAAATGGGAAATAGCAGATAAAATGCATACACACACACACACACACACATCTATATATAGATACACATCTATTTACACATACATATATACATACACATATACACACATATTTAACAGACAAGAACATAGGGTATAGAACAACGAAACAACATGTCGTGTATGACTTAGATGCGGTTAGCATATCAAAATGGAGAGAGAAGAGAAAGAAAACAATAGAATCGATATGAGTGTATCTACAGGTTGCATACGTGACATATGTGTCTATACAGATGACATTTGCTGTTGATAATATTTTTTAACCACTGTGAAGTGTTATTTCTCTGCATTCCCACAAATGGTATGTCGTTCCATATTTTTGCAACAAAAATTGTACTAATCTCTGACTGTATAGGTTTCTTGCCAACGATATATTAAAGTTCCCAATTGTTTTGCTTCTTGTTGGAGTTTTGACAGTCGCAATATTGGTACATTAGATGAATAGTTGTCCTTTATTACACTGACAATACACTTTGCCATACTTACTTCGCATAAGAAATCAAGTGGTATGATTTGCAGTTTAAAAAATATTTGTTTGCTTTCTTCATTTCGCTGCAAGAAATTAATAGTCGGGACAGCTCATTTCTGTAGAAGGCGAACATGATCTAGGTAAGTATTGATTGTTTAGGCCCATGAATCAATACAGTACGTCAGGTGAGACTGAAAAAATGAAAAATACAGGATGGTCGTAGAATGACCTGTTCGGTGCAAGAGTTGATTGGTGGAGGTGATTTTACATGTTCGAATAGTAGATAACTTTGCACACAGTCAAGAAATGTTTCTAACTGGCCTGACTAGTGCAGCTTATGCTAATGACTATATTCCACAAATCTTGTACATTTGTTGAGTGACATTTTTAAATGCTGCAGAGATGTTATATCTATGAAAAGTGTTTCTTTTTTCTAAACCCCCATATATTTTTGTAGACCTTAAACATTCCTCACTGTGATGTTTTCTCCTACAGTCATATAGCCAATTACAAAAAGCTTTTCCAAGTGCATACTTGTACCATACAGGTATTGCTTTTTGTTGCCAGTGTGTGTGTGTGCTGCCAACAATGACATCAAGAACAGTGACAAGAAAGAAGGTAACTCTACACAATGTGCATTTTGATATGTTTTCGGTTCTAGTGGGGCAGTAAGCACATGTAGTACATAACCTTCACATGTGAAGTGCCAGTTCGACCCCGCCACGGTAGTCTAGTGGCTAAGGTACTCGGCTGCTCACCCGCAAATCGCGGGATCAAATCCCGGCTGTGGCGGCTGCATTTCCGATGGAGGCGGAAATGTTGTAGGCACGTGTAATCAGATTTGGGTGCACGTTAAAGAACCCCAGGTGGTCGAAAATTCCGGAGCCCTCCACTACGGCGTCTCTCATAATCATATGGTGGTTTTGGGACGTTAAACCCCACAAATCAATCAAGTGCCAGTTCGAACCATGTCCATTTTTTTTCTACTGGGCAAGAGAATGTATGAAAGGGGTATGTGTTTTTAAGCCTGAGTCGACTCTGCATCAGCCCTGCTGAATTCTGCACAGGGTGCTGCCACCGCGTGGAAATTATTCCATAAGTCTTCACTAATTGTTGTTGTTTCAGATTGGATTGAACATGGAGAAGAAAGACAGTGTACAGTATTTGGAGAAGTATGTACATGTGCGATTTGGCCCCTCAGTACGTCAGGTTGGTGGGAAGCCAAGTGAGGGCTGCATTGCTGTGACCAGCTCTGGTTTGGTAAGGCTCCAGAAAGTTCCATCTGATCTCCCTTCACGCTTTTTATGGCTACATTTTATATGCTTAAATTGTCTGACCTCTCAAGTGTTTTGGTATTTGGTGTGAATAAAAGCATGTTATTATTAAAGGAGAAATTAAAATATGGAGCGGAATCGATCAGCATGAAAGACTGGAAAAATATTGAAAAAAGAAAAATAAGTGTTATCTGCACTTTGTCCATTCTCAAGCACTGTTTGATGCTTCTAATAATGTTTTCTATGCGTAAGGGGTGATGTGTAAGTTTCTCATTTACAGTGAACTCTCGTTAATTCAATCTCAAAGGGACCCCTGCATTTTGTTTGACTCACTAGACGTTTTCATATATGTGAGTCTGGGCAAGTTGGCACCACACATAATGATTATGCATTGATTTTAATGACATTTAAAAATTTTTAGATGTTTTTAGTCCCTAACTGCACAAATTAAACAGAAAGCAGAGGCACAAGGACCAGAAGTTTATTGGCCATTCACTAGTGACCAAACATTAAAAAAAAAAAAAAAATTGTGAATGGCCAACTGCTTTTTTGCTTAGTGTGCCGTTAGCACGAATCTTTCTATGTCGGTAAGTGCAGCTAGTTTGTTCAAAGTTTTCTGAATCTATCAAATTCTGAAATCTGAGCAGTGTAGTGGAAGTCCTGTGCAATTGTCACATTAGGTTCCGTTTCAAACTCCTCTTTACTTTACAAAATGCTGGTCACCTGCTTCGGTGTCAGCCGGCACACCGGAAAAGCAGAGATAGCCAAATTCTGCGTGCTTCAGTTTCGTACCCGCCGCATCATTTTGAACTTGAGGGTGTTGTTTTACAGCGAAATCTGCTATGAGAGCACGACAAGGGCTGGTTTTGGCGCTGTAGTTTGCAGTCGCCACTGTTGTCTGAAAGCACTATTGCATGAAAAAAGAAAAAGAAACGAAATAATAAAAATATCTAGTATGGAATAGGACTTGAACCTGGGTCCTCTCTGTGGCAGTGTTCCACCACAGAGCCATACCACTGCTCGAAACTCCGTTTCTAAAATAACCTATACTGGTGTTATGTCGGGAAGGAACCGCGTTAACATGTGTATTATAGTGTGGTGAAACAGTAAAATAGCAACCGGGCATCACACAATACGAATTGCGTAGTGAGTGGGCTGTTAGATGCTTCTAACCCTTTAAAAATGGCTCAGCCATAGTTTTTCGTCATCAGGCACCTCATCAACAAAGCGCACACAATGCCTTGCAAATGCGTAGCGGGGGATTTGGTTCTTCGCAGAGTGAGGAATAACGACGTAGTGGGTGCTTCCCAACTTGACAATAGTTATGATTTATTTCGTAGTGCGTACCTTGTTAGTGTACTTTTATCAGTCCCAAGAGAGCTGAGAACTGGTCCTAGAAATGCCATTCTTCCAACCTTTGCTGCAACTGTGCTGCACTTTCCGTCCATGCATGACATTTTTAAAAAAAAAATTTTCGACTTATTATATAGGCTGACTTATATATAAGCACCTCGCTCCCCTCACATCAATGCTCGTAGTTGACCTCCTATCACCAAGTAGGACAAATGAGTGAAACCACTGCGAGCACATTAACAGTACTGATGCTACGAAAGGGGTTTTTCACTAGTAAAAACAAAAAAGTCATGACCACGCCCCCCTCTTTGGTGTTATTTAGATGACCCCCCCCCCCCCCCAACGAGTGGCTGGACCCGGCCCTGGAAAAAACAGTAGACATTTTCCGGTATAGACACGAAAAAAACGAGCTTCTTAACGCTGTCACATCGAAAGTGAGAATTAACCGCATGACACGGTCTGAACTAAGTGGCTCTTAAATACATAGAAAGAATAATAAGCCAATCAATAATTTAGATATTATTGAATTGTTGGGAATCAACTGAAGGCACGCATTATCACAGTTTGAGTTATTTATTTTATTTATTTATTTTCAGTACTATTAGCTCTAACCGGCTGTTACAGGGTGGGACAGTTTACAATACAGAAAAAGTAAATGCAAACAGCTTAAGAATCTACAAATAGCATAGTACAAACAGCACAATGCAAACTAAAAGAAAAACAAATATAGACAGTGCATAAAAAATTATACAAAACAACAGCACTGCAATTATACGTAATTGTATGAATACATAATTAATGCAAGTCTACTGTACTTTACTGCAATATAGAGCTTTTAATTTTTTACTTTTGGTGTTATGATATCGTTTTTTTCCTTATTTCTGTGAAAGCTGCGTTGCTTCATTATATAATGCAATGTGACTTGCCCTACGTAATGCCATGGGTTGAGGGCCTTAAGGGATTGTTTGAGTCAAATGGCAAAGTAAAGAGAGCGAGGTGAATTGGAGCTAAATGGCATTTTAGCATGCCCTACATGTTAACAGACTTTTGCTTGGTTAGATGGTACTGTCATGCATTTATTGACAGCGCTGACATTCACCACAGCAGTGCTTCATTCTCTTTCTAGAGAAATTATTTATGATAGCTTCACATCTGTGGTGCGATGGATATCAAAGAAAGAATAAGCTGTTGCTACGACGCACTAATAAAGGATGTTGAGTGTAACTGCACCTTTGCTTATATTGAAGTGGCTTTTTTTTGTTTTACATGCACAAAAGGACTTCTAAGCTGCACAGTTTTATCTGAATAAAGTAAGCTCTCACTTCAGATTTCAGTGAACACAGGAGGATCCAATAAAACAGTTCACTTTGCTGAAAGTTCACTGAACTGAATATTCACTAGAATACGAACAGCATTGCACACAGCAAAAATCAATTTAGAAGTACTGAGTGTATTTTGTTTTGAAAAAAATTCTGTGATTCTCATTTGCACAAGTGTTCTTAAAGTTCAAGGAAAAAGAAAGTGTTTCAGAGAGTCTGCTTTTCTGTGCATCGCGTCTAGCGCAGCTTGTTGCAGTGACACGGAGTCTCGCAACTCTATTATATCCTACAGCCTCAGATAGAGATGCAGAATTTGAACCTGTCTCCGTCATGAAATCTTCACGCTCCTCTCCTTTCAGTTTTGGACGAACACTAGAAATAATTTCCAAATATGATAGCTGTGTGTAGGTACTCAAGCACACATGCTTCTCGTCTCGCACGCAACTGCTTTGCTTCAATGGTGATGCTTGCACAAGGGATGTTGCACCGATGGATGGGTGATTAGAGGAGGGTGGCATGCATTTTCTATGCCAGTGCTACAGAATGCAAATCTGCATTGACTTGATCTCAAAAATAAGCTTGATTCCACACATCATTTCGTTCAACCGTAATATTCAGTATATTCAGAAATTTAACTGAAAAATTTTTGCATAGAATGCATTGGAAAACCACTGGAGAGTTTGTAAAAGTTTTTTTTCTGAAATATTCGTTAAAGCGACGTTTGCACAAATGAGAGTTCAATGTACTACATTTGGCATTGATTCAAGGTGGGAGTGATGTGCACTGGCATGTTATTGAACTAAAACATTTTTTTTTTCTATTTCTGAACAGTTCTTCTCACATTTCATAGGATATTGCAGGATAATGCATTTGACCTCTGGGGAGGTGTACATGGAACACTGTTTTGTTCTTCGTATTGCAGGTGTGTGTGGTGATATTGCAGTCTGATGAAACAGTCATCACTGGCACTGAGATTTTGGGTCTGTACAGAAGCCGGCTCAAAGTCGTTGATCTCTGTTATGGAAAGAGTAAGTAGGTTTGCCTCTTTATGGCACTGTAGCAGCAAGTTCATGTGTCCTGATTAATTTAGGAATTCGAGACTTACTATAAGGCGTAATTTTTTGTGCACAGCTATAAAAAGGCCTTTTCCAGTACTGATTATTGCTGCTTGTGAAAGGTTACTTGTCACATCTCAACTATACACAAGCCTCATTCTTCTTTTACCTCAAACGTGTATTGTATGGACAACACATGCTCACTAAATAAACTTGTACTCTTTTGAGCAGCGTTTAATGATTCCAAATTACCTTTTCAGACCACCACCTTGATGTGCTTTCCTCTAAAAAAAACATGTCTTTTTATCGTTGTGTAGACACTTGATGCATGTGTTCAGTCAATGAGAGGAGAAGTAACACTTATAACAATCTGCAATAGATAGCAGGACCCCTTTGAAGCTCACCAATTGCACGTTGCCATACACAACCAAACGGAAAGAAGAGGGATAGATTTAATTACAGTTTAAATTACAACAAATTCTATTCTTCACACCGATTCTTTGTACTAATTTCAGACGGTGATTTTCTGGTTGTGACCAGTGATGGACTTGTACAGTCATCAGTCATTGCTTTCGCATAGCACTGAAACTGAGTCAGGGTAGGTAGTAGTAGCGATGCTTTGTTTTTGAAAAGTCTTAACGCCACATTTATTACCTCTGGTTGGTTGCAGATAAGTGCATCATCACCTGCCACCCCTTTTCAAGCTTTTATCTCAAATGTCATGCCACGGCCCAGTCCCGTGAAAAGCCTCGTAAGTCTGCCCTGTAGCTTTGTACACTGCTGCAATTTTGCCCTGCTGATCTTGTCAAAATTGTTTTCAGCTCATACGCGTGTGACACACCTCAATTTTGTCCTACGAGAAGCAGCTGATGCTGTGGCTGTTTCAGTCTCAGGTCAGTGCTCCCTCCTTGTGTCTTGCATGTGATGTTAAACCCCCTTAAATCTCTTCACTGTCAGAATTAGTGAGTTATTTTTCTTTTTTGTCTTTATCTTAAGCAAACCTCGTGAGTCTATTGATCAACAAATTAGTAGCAATGAAGAGGGCACGAAGACATTTGGAGTAAATATCATGTTTGCACTTCGTAACAGCTCAGTTTGTGTAGGATTGAATTTTGATGGCATGGCATTTTGCTTTAGACAAAATACAAAAATGTTTCCTAGAGCTTTAGTTTCAGTGCATGTTAAAGAACTTCAGGGAGTCAAAATTAATTAGGATTCTCCACTCGTAAAACACCCCTCATAGTCCGTAGAATTACTTAGGGATGTTTACGAAATACGAATCGTGAACCACTCACTTTGATAGCTGTCACATAACCCTGAGTTTGTTTTTCTTGTAGCTGTACGAAGTTACTCTTTCAGGTTCTGCTGGTAGCACTATTGAGCTCTGGGAGCTGCGAGAGAAGCCTGTGCGGTTCCACAAGATGTTCCACACACCTGCTGTCGACACTGTTACTAAGACTGTAGTAAGGAAAAAAAAAAAAACTTGCTTTATTGAATAACTGAATTTTTGATAACCTTCGGGCTCTCTTACTGAAACTTTTTTACCATACTATTCTCAACAATTATATTTCTCAATGAGCATTAAATATTGGTATGTTATCCTGGTCTGTAAAAGCGTTCCGAATGCCAAGGGCGTGTACAAGAGGGCTTACTTCCAGAAGCACTTAGGAAATAAATGTGCAGTATCTATTTGTCACATGGTTATGTCTCGAGAGCATTGAATTTTCTTTTTGGAATTGATAGGTTGTTAGCATTTGTTGGTGCATTCAATTACCTCTCTTGATTCACACTCATCTAATCATTAAGTGCCATTATAATTTTACGATGCCTGGAGTTGCCTGTGTTAGGAAAACATTTACTGCTCAAATCTTCTACAGGAAAAAGAGAGCAGGAAAAGGGGCTGTGTGCGAAATTCAGATGTGCCTATGCCTGTACGCTGATGCTAATGCTGGCCCTTTCATAGATGCCACTGCTGATATACGTAGTGCGAGAATTTGGAGGAAATTGTCACTGTCGGCCTTCGTTTCTTGTGTCATTTTCTTGGACAATGAGGTGCTGCTCTTTGTATAAGAAACATGGCGCATGTTCTATCTTAATTAAGGGTTAATATCTACCAGTCTAGTTCATAGAATGGCTTCTAGAAAGGCCAAAACTTATCGATATACCAATCTAGCTTATTGAATAGCTTCTAGAAAGCATAGTACTTAATGAACAAGTTCCTAAACATTGCTCAGTGTTCTTTTTGAGAATCAGAATCACTGTAACATAAGAAGTCAGTGGTAACTTATCTGTATTCTCGCATTAGCACCAGGAACGGTTTGTACGTAATTACATGTCACTTCCTTACAACTGTGTTGCCGTCAAAAGTGATCTGTTAGGCTTGCTTTGAACCTCTAAACCACTCGGAAGTTGAAATTTAGTTGTGGTGTTGCAGTGGTGCGCTAGTCTACAACGAACACGTAGCCAATGAGAACTTTGCAAAACGGTCTTCATTCATTTATACTTTGTTCGCCCATCTCTCCTTCTTGCCGAGATGCTCCACCTCATTTGGTGAGAAGAAAGAGTAGCTAGCGCATGTGCCTGCAAACGGACAAATAAGCCTTGCATATCACGAGTAGGTGACATGTTGTCGTCACGTTGAACACTTGAGGGGCTGATCACTGCTAAAAGGATCGGAGTGGAGAAGGGAGAGAGAAAAAAAGTTATCAGGAAGGTAGAGAGGTTAACTAGACTACGTCCAGTTTGCTACCCTACATGGGGGAGAGGGGAATGAGGGAGAAAAGAGAGAGGAAAAAGGAGATACACATTGCACCTAACACACACACCGCACACACAGTTCTGTGCATTTGTGGCGCTCCTGCAACTTGTAGTGCTTCAACGTGTGGCATTGTTGATCATGATAGCATTTTGAACTCCATGCGCATGTTTACTTGAAATGTTAAAAACAATCGTTGGAGGTATAGTTGAAAGACCCCTTTAAGGACCAACTTGTCGCATAGCCTGACTTGATTTGTGATGCATCATTTTGAGGACAGCCTATTCTCTGAGTATTCAGCTCTCTCTACGTGGGTCATGTTAAGAACTTTTCTTCTCTACAGGGCTGGCAACACCACGAATCGGCGACGTACACATCTCCGGTCATGGCACTGTGTACACCCCGTCTCTCCATTTACGACATGAGCCCGCCTCCTTCGTACATCATTGCAGCGTACAAAGATAACGTCATCAAGTGCTTTTCCAGGTTTGATTTCCTGCCACTGAACACTTGGGATTTGTGAAATGAATAATTCTAGCAATTAGTTTTAAATGAGCAAAGGGTAGCAAGTAATCAGCATAAAAGGGAGAACTTTCATCCACGTGTTGGTTGTAGCACAGCAGTACGAAGGAAACCTGTACAGATTTTTTGTATTTGATACCAGGACAAAACCAAAAAGGCTTTCTTTCTGAGCAATCTTCCTAGAATTGATTTCTCGCATTGTGTTACAAATGGTTAGTGACAGCTTTCTTTTTAAGAAAACTTAAACCACTTTGTGAGCTTATGCAGACCTGATTCACGAAATTGATTTGGGAATCGCTTCATTTTTTCAAAATCAGTGTTCAGAAATATGTTAATGAACATTTGTATGCTACTGCAATGCTTCTTTTGAGAATTGAGATGGCAGAAGTTTCTAGATGAGTGAAGCTTATGGCAATTAGTAATCGACAGTCATGAATGTTTCGAACACTACAAGGACTGGGAGAAAAAAAAACTTTACAAAAATGTTACCATTACATGAAGCTAGCAAATGTTTTTTTGAGCTTGTCTGACATTTTGTCTAGTTTCACTATGAAGTAATATTTTTTTTTTTCCTAGGGATCTCATGAACACCCTGTGCTGCATCAACATCAATGCTGCATCTCATCGACGTGACGACCATGGTGCGTTAAATTTACCCACTTGCGTGCATAAAAGTATTTGGCAGTGGTAGAAGAATTTTTCATGGTGCGTTAAATTTACTCACTTGCGAACATGAAAAGTATTTGGCAGAACTAGCAGATTTTCCCATGGCGCGTGAAATTTACTCACTTGGGAGCATGAAAAGTATTTGACAGTTGAAGCAGATTTTCGTGCTCCTTCTTGTCTGGGTTAACATAGGTGTCGGATGGTACAGAGGTTATTCATTGCAATGTGTGAAATTTTTGTGGGGTTCACTACTCGTTGCACTGATTGAATCATTGGGATTCAAACATGTAGCTGTCGTTACTTTCACCCGATGCCATCAGCCTTTGTTTTATGCTTAAAAATGTTACTTGACCTTTGTTCTTTGATCTCTGCATTGTCCGATTTGTTTTGTGATACTGATATTATATGTGGTAATGTATTTTCATGCTGTATTGCAATGATTTTTATTTGTTGCCCACACAAATTTCTTCTCTTTGTGCTGCTAATGTTTATTTTAGGTTGTGGTAAGGGTACTTACTTTGGTTTCTTTTCATAGCAGCATTCAGCTGTCGTGTCCTTGCTAGCTGTATGGGCGTAAGGGGGGAGGGCTAGTTGTCAACTAAAAGTACTCCATGGAAAGTGTGCCCTCTGCTCAACTCACTTGAATGCGACTGCATTGTTCAGACACAAGCCACAAAGTTTGTAGCTGCCTAGACCTGCGTTCTCTCCTGTTATTATCAACCTGCAATGAGAACATCTAAGGAAAAAGTTTCAAGAGGCTGCTTTGTCAGCATAAGCTGATTTAGCATTCAAATGGCGTGGTAGCCTGTTCGCTGCGAAATTCTGTTAAGTGCAAGGTTGCAGGTTTTTGTTCATGACGGTCACATAACGAGAAAAGCAAAATGCAAGAACATTCTTTTACTTTCATTTGTTGATACATACAAGAATACTGGGCTTGAATGTTGATCCAGTGCCCTTCACTATACCTGCCTCATAATTCTATCATGTTATTTACGTGTTTATGGAGTACTCAAACAAATGAACATGTTTAAGGAGTACTAAAACGAATTGAAAAATTTTTGGATTGTTGCTCGAAATAGAAGTACTGATGTCCGAGAAACCCTAAACGAGTATTGTGGTGCTTAGGAATGCATCAAATATAATTTTATTACTGCAACCTTAACAAGACACTTTCGGTTGTCGATGTTGAGAGAGTGATGTGTCAAAAAAGTGTGATGTCATGGGAAGACAGCAAATGGCAATATACTAGCGGCAAGTGTGTCACCTGCTCGTGGGGAACATAAAGAACGGTGAGTGAATTGTTGTCCAGTGACCCAGACAGTGATTTCTGCGATTTCAGCTGCGTGTAGAATGCAGAGCTCGCAAATTCAGGAACTTTCTTCTCTCGTTTGAATAATGTCCATTGCAATAGAGCTGGCTTTCACATGATCAGTGACAAAAACTTTAATATCAAAATAAAATATTTTATAAGTATGACCTGACTCCTGTCTATGGTGAGTGTTGACACCGCACACCAAGGAAGTGAAAAATGTCCCTCTCGTGATGTCTTAAAATGGTGTCAGCACTCCATTAAGGCTTGTTCACACCGAGTGCAGAGCGGCAAAGAGGGAAAGTCTTTAAGTGCGACGTGGTTAGTGCGTGCACCTGTTGAGATCACATGCCTTTGTTGGCTTGCTTTGTGGCAAAGGAGGTGGTCATATCGCGCTTTTGCGCATGTGTTGCTATCACGTTGAAATACTTCTCCCACAGATACACCAGCGCCACAGCAGCACCGCCGCTGCGCCTCCACCGTGTGGTGTTCTGATTGGCTGCAGCAAAGTGGAGAGCGGCAAAAAATTAGTCTGGGAGCGATCGTATTTGCCACCTCATTTTCTGCCCACTTTCGTGGCCTGCAGAGGAGGGTTTCCCCGCTTTTTGCTTTGCCACTTTGCTGTTCTGGCCACCCTGCTTTCTGCGTGAATTAGCCTTTAAGTCTAACAATTTTGTTTCTGAGTATTTAATTTTGCTAGTTTGTAAAGCCCGATAGGTGGCTTTCTGCCTGTGCTTGTGAAGTGCCTTTGATGCGGAAACAAAATGCTGACTGTACCTTTTTAGCCTTTTTAGCCAGTACACCAAGAGGCGTATCTGCTGCTGTATCTGTTCAACTGAAACATGTGATTGTGAATAACATGCAGTCTCTGCAACTATTGAGTGGTGTTGCAGTCCTGTGCCCTTTTTGTCTTTTGTGGAGGCAGGCATCAAGTACCAGCATCTGAACGCCACAGTGTCTCACATGCAACTCAGCTGGACGAGCAGTGTGATGGTGGCCATCGACTCTCTCTCGCAGATCTACCTCTTCAGGCTGGCGCCAGTTACAGAGCCCAGTGAGTCTTTTTAAGCCTCTTACTATTCACTAGGCTGGTGCAAATATTCAAATGCTTTGAATATTCGAAGGAATAGTACAGTATTCAAATTTACATAATGAAAAACTTCACAAAGTATTCGCATAGAACGAATAGATGTATATTAGTCTGCACGTAACCTCCTGTAAAGGTGGTTTCACTGCAGTGTAGGAGTGCTTAGTCCATAAAAACATTTAATAAATATATCTTAGTTTGCATATAACTTCTGTAAAGATAATTGCACTACAGTGAAGGGTTGCTAAGCCTGTGAAAACACCTATCTAGAGGGAATCTGCACTGCCGCATAGCTTCACTTCAAGGTTGAATGAACATGTTACCATCACATCGATTCAACATTTTTTTAGGTTTAAAAGCTTGTTGTGCTGGCCTATATGCTCTAAGTACAGTAAATTTTAAAACATTACATATTTTGCTAGTTATCACTTGCATTCTACTAAAAGTTAAATTCTGCTACTTTTCAAAGTTGTTTAATCTTCCTTTGAATAACAACAACAAAAAAAGGCATTTGCATGCACAGAGGCCTTGTTTCAATTAAAAATACATTGTGCAGGTTAGTTAGGTCATGACAAATACAATTGAATCCCGCTACAATGAAACTGACGGGGCACAAAAAAAAATTTTGTTGAAATGAAAATTTTGTTGCAGTGAAATCGAAAACACATAGCTGATCCGAGCTAGCAAAACAAAGGAACGTTCATACTCAAAATTAAAAAAATGTCCGCTGCTCCCTTTTTTTTTTCCAGCAGCGTCACAACGTGATTCTCACCCATGCATAGCGAGGCCATGGTGAAGAGCACGCTGAAACAACACCTAAAGCCGCCTTCGTGAATGAACCAAACAGTTGCATCAAGACATTAACACCGGCAGCTGTCCGCCGTCAAAAGTATCCCACAACGCCGAGATGGAGGCAGGGTATCGTGGAGTGGCGACTTTTGCGATATTCTATGCCATTCTTATCATCCGTCACTCGTGGCTAGCTGATTTTGTTGATAATGCGAACGAACAGCCGCTTTGATTAGTTATCACATTGGCCAAACGCGAACATAATGATAAGCATCGAAATCGGAAAAGGCATCGTTCCGCGGTTGCACCCAGCAGCTGCGTGAAGGAAGCCATGAACTGAGTGACTGAGCTTCAGCTTCAGATTGTCTGCGGCTCAAAAGCAAGCCAGTGGCAAAAGCAGGGTAGTCTCATTGCCATCCCTATCGAGCAATGGCGGCACCCATGCTTGCTAATGGTGCATTCAGACGACGGACCGAATCCGGATTTCTCGTGAACGCGGACGGGTAATCCGCGGATGATCCGCCTGCAGGCGCATCCACACGACGGACGGTGTCCTATAGGAGAAAACAGCCGGATTACCCTCGACAGCAGGTTCGGCGCTCACCTGCGCGCGCTGAAAGCAGACCGGTTTGAGAGTATTCAACATGGATGCCCGCAAGAAGCGACGCTTGACTGCGATGTCTGTCGCGTTGTGACAAATGAACGAGGAGTGTTATTCTTTCAGAAGAAAAGGTAGTTGCTGGCAGAATGTTCTTTCAACTACATTGTTCCCCACTTGTAGAACTTCTGAATGCGTCTCCCATCTTTTTTCAGAAGCGGCACGTCACCGGTTGCAGAAGTTAGAACATTTTACCATCATGACGGCTAAGAATCTCGCGTGTCAAACGACGGCGGCGACATTTTCCGAACCACCAAAAATGATTTCTGCATATTTAATCACCTGAACACAAAGCCTCCGGAAACTAAGTAAACCATGCTCAAGCGTAGATGATGCCGACCAGTCATGCAGCTATTCGCGAGCCATGGAGGACATGCCGCGAGCAGACGAAAAGTGTGCAGGTTGCCAGAAACCCCGAGCTAATCCACTTAAGTACCGGCTTTCCCCCACCAGAATCCCGATGTGAGAAACAGGTTGCGGTCATCCGTCCGCGAGCCGCGCGGACGAGTCGCGGACGAGGGGAATCGCTGATGTGAGGTCACGTGACGCGCCGTCCGTCCCGCCACATCTGGATTCGGTCCGTCGTCTGAATTCACCATAAACAGCGGCGGTGTAGCGGCGGTTTCTGGTGGTGCCAACGCGTTTTTTAGACTTCGTTGACGCATTTTCAGGCTCTGAAAATGCATTGAAATGTTAAAGATTAGGTTTACTGCGTAGAAATAACTATCTGAGCCTGGAATCGCATCGTGAAATTTCGTTGAAGCGGGACGATCGAAGAAAAAGTGTTCGTTGTGGCGACAATATTTATGCATTGACTCCTAAGGACTGCTGACGGGGAATTGTGAATTTTTGGTTGTAGAGGAAATTTTGTTGAAGCAATGTTCGTTGTAGTGGAGTTTGACTGTACGCCCATTTTTATTTATATGTCGAATATTCCATTTTAAAAATTACTTGACCAAAATCACCATTCGCTTTGATTTTGCTTCAGCTAAAATTCAGTAATCACACAAGGCTTCTATTCACTGAAAAAAACTCACAGGGTACCTTATGCACCTGTCCAAGATAGATGACTGAACACGAAATCAATCTTCATCTTTTTATTTTTGGTCGATGCATTGATCCTCTCAACTCTCTTTGGAAGAAGGACACGAGCGCTCGTGTCCTTCGTGTCTCTGCGTGTTCGTTCTGTTCTCGCGCTATAACTATCATCATGTCATACCAACTAGCCCAAGCTGCCACACTCCCTTTGGAAGCTTTCTCCACCTAACGGGCTTTTTTGCGGCCTCAAGATTAGCCCACCAAGTGACGATGTCATGTGATGGCATTGTGTAACATCATATTGTGTGACGCATGATGACATCACAGTGATGTGATGACATAACAAGTTGTGGTGATCTCTGGCATCATGATGGTGATGTCATCTTGTGATGACAATTTTATTGCGTCACTCGTGTTGATGCTGCTGCCACGGACCAACGCTGGTCAACTTTTGTGTTTGATGAGGTGCTAAGGCTGAGTACAACCAGTGTATATTAAAAAGTGCTTTCGTCTCATCATATGTAAGTACAACATATATATAATCAAGGTATTAGTATTGATAGGAAGATTATGTGCCGCACTGGATCATGACCTTAGCAAGAGGAGCCAAGCGCGAGCTGTTAGCCCTAGAGCTGTCATTTCTATGTTGGAACAGTTGTTCCTGCTCGCTTTCAGTATCAATAGACTTTCTGTGCAAGCGCTACTTACACCAGTAAACCTCGTTTCAGAGTGGGGGAGGTGCTGGATATTTTCAACAGCCATTTCTGGAATGGCAGGTAGTTTTCTGTTGCGGAGTTTCCAGTTGAGTTACCCAGGTTGAGTTACCATTGGCAGCAGTGTTCTTGAACTTGGGACTCTGCTTTAGAAACAGGTTCTCTTCTCTTAGAGGTGCTTTTTATAAACCTTCCACTGCCTCGGTATATTTGTGTGCCGAATTCAAACATGTTTGCAATTATTTTGCACACACATTTCGACATGTGGACGCCTCAAATATTGTCTCTGTTATTGATAAGCGCAAATTAAAAATAGCCATCACACACAAAAAATTTTTATTTTATCTGTGAAGATTGGGTTGATGTCTGTCTTTCTTGCATTGCATGCCTCGTACATAGCGTGTGGAGTAATGAAGGCAACAAGGGTGACATCACATTTACTTGAAGGCAGCAGAAGTAAAAAATGCTCTGTTAAGCAATCCAGTTTCTTGTTTCTCATTTAAATTGTGTAACTGCAAAAGATACAGCTTTGCATAAACTAGTTATGCGAGTTTTGCTATTTCTGTCATAGGGGAGTGACCGTACGTGCGAGTTGCTGTGTTTGTGTCTGAAACAAACCTAAAAGGTCTTGTTGAACTCATAGACTACCCTCTGAAGTTTTTGGACTTGGAGAGATTGAGAATGACTTCTTGCACACACGCACACACATACACGGCAACCTTCTAATGCAGGCACTCCGGTCAGCCCCAGCTACACAATGACCCTCCTGGAGCACTGTCTCATGACCGGCACTGACTGGTGGGACGTCCTCCTCAGCATGAGACCAGGTGGGCAATTAAGCACTTGTATTGTGTAGCCTCAAGTACTAACCGCACCCCCCCAACCGCATTCACATCCACAGTTATTGTGGCATTCATTTGCTCTTGGTAGTTATTGTTAGTACTTCGTTCTGTGGTAGATGTGCATGCACTGTCTTGTTTATTGCCTTGTTCCATATTTTGGAATATATGAAGTCGTGTAGCCCTTGGCCTTATAATTGCCATTCATTGTGTACACTAAACATAAAGTTGGGAATTTATTAGGCCTCGAGGGTGCACCTGCACATGTATCAGGCGCAACGACGGAAGATTGACACCGTGTAAGGGCGTGCGGGCAGTTGGCGTGAAGCAGAGAAAAAGGAAGTCAGATTAAGAACAGCCATCTCACAGCAAGGGTGCTGTCTCTTGCCTCTCTTTATTCCCTACGATGGGAAAGCGAGTCAGTGCTTTATTGGCCTGTTTAGCTAAGGAAGCATTGTTTTCGTTTTTGATAGAGACAGCCCACTTGAAATATTGTGCATAAATAAGTGCTTCCTTTTTTTTTTCAGGTTTGATTATACAGCATGCAAACAAGGTCACTGAAGAATTAGTTTTATTGCACATTAGTTGATCTGACTTCTTTATTCAATATTGGTTGTGAATAAACTTCATAATGGGTTACAAGGTAACCAAGAAACATAATGTGAGAGAAGCCTAAATGATAAAGTTGTGAACAAAGGAATTAAAAACAGTCAGTAGGGTTAGTACTACAGTTACCCTTTGCATGAATGTCAAGGGACCCCAAGAAAAAGGTTATTAAAGTGAAATTTTACAGAACTGAAATAGCCACGTTGCAAGTTATCAGGAGTTGAAGGCGAAAATTCTGTAGGCCCATGTGCTCAGATTTGGGTGCACGCTAAAGAACCCCAGGTGGTAGAAATTTCCGGAGCCCTCCACTACGGCGTCTCTTATAATCATATGGTGGTTTTGGGACGTTAAACCCCACAAATCAATCAATCAAGTTATCAGGAGTTGAAGGTGGTGATTTCAAGATCAGTTATTGAAATGGAACCTGAATCTTTTTATTGGCAATGCTGCTTATTCGAATGTGAATTCCTTCTTATTTAACACATTTTGAAGAACGCAGTAGTACTGTTCTGTCGCACTTGTGTACATAAGACTGCAATAGTTATAAATTGAGTCACTAGTATGTCCAAGCTGTCGTGAACATTTTCTGGCACAACACTCCACGCGGCAGTGAAGTCCTTCACTGGCCCGTTGAGGGCTTCACTTTTTCGAAGTATACCAGTGCTTCTTTAGCTGAAATTTTCTGTGCTTCCTTTACAAGGGTTACTTATTTTCTCTCCTCTTTTTCTTCATTAAGGAAGCATGATACTATCTCATCTGTAGAGTGTGGTGCAGGTCTAAACGCGAGGTTCACAGGTGACATAGTCCTAAAAAAGTGAAGTGGTGTCTGTCTACCGTCTTTCAAACATTATCTGATCAATATGACGTGAAAGGCATTGGTTGGTGTCACAAAATATGTTGGTAGAACTTGAATGTGCTCTGCAATAATTTCATTGCGGTGAAATGTGCTACCACTGGGTCTAACGAAACACCAGCAAAGAAAAAAAAAAAGAAAGGAAAGTTCGTACAACTGAATGGTATTTAGTTTCACTGACATTCGTTCGGATGGTATTTTACTTTCATTAAAAGGCTAAAACTGTAACGGTATATAACATTAAAATTCAAAGATCACTTCTCTGCAATGACTTATATTTACAACAGACATCAAAGTCATTATTATGCATTTTCTTTGAGTTCTTATTTAACGCGAAAGGGTTTTATGCCAGGGTCCACCATGGCTCCACGGACATATGCACATCATGGATATGACAAAAAATATAAACGAATAGATTTCAAAAAGAAAAAAAAAAAAACCTAGAATAAAAAGTTCTGTCACTGGGCATCAAACCTACTACCTCATGTTTGACAGCGCGCAGCGCCAAACCATTCGGCCACAGAGCATATGTTCTTCAGCTTACTAACGACGAGTGAAAGGAGACGTGTTCACGAAGGGGCACGCAGCTCACACACGAAGGAACAGTTGTGACAGTTGTTCGCGCTCGTGCTTTGCAACTTGTGCATTCGTTTCCTGCTGCGTCTTTCTTTCTGTTTGAGCAGCGTGCTGTAAGTGTCGAGATGTGACAGTTGTTTGTCCGCGCTCGTGCTGTGTATGCTCATTTCGTGCATTCTTCATGCTTGAGGTGCGCACTTGAAGTTTTTAGCTGCTTGCCATGCTTCGCGTGGCATTACAATTTGTTCCTGTAGCACTTATTCCTTTGCCGTATGATAAAACAATGAACAAAAAACGCTCAACCACCTCTGCGAAGACATGTTTTGCTTTTGTGCTATACCATTCCTATGACCGAGGGATCAGCCATGCTTTTCTTTTTAATTTATTGTACCTTGTATGAGTGTAGTATCTATAAAACTGTCTGGCTACAGTGTAATTCCTTTATAGAGACATGCACTGGGCAGCAATTCTTGACTCTTATATGAAGTGTCTATTATAAGTAGAGAACCACATATGCATTTTCTTATCAACCCGTATTTTACTGTAGGCACACTGGTGTCTGTTATACCCATTTGTCTGTTATATTAGTGTCTCTTATAAAGGGGGTCGACTATTTTAATTGTAATAATAACACACTTTTCTTTTTGCTGGGGTTAGGTTCTACATTGCTTAACCTTAATTGGCAATGTCGTTTTTTTTTGTTTTTCATTTTTTTTTCAGGAGTGATAGAAACTATTTGTGACAAGTTCACTGAAATTTTCAACAAGCAGCCACCTGGAATGCAGCAGTGCTTTCTTAGTAGATTTCTATCTATCAAGGGATCCCTGTACAGGTGAGTGTCATGTTTTGTGCGAGGTATGTTAAAAGCGCAATGCCATATTTACAAGAATGAACAATCATCATGGTGTAATTACGAAACATATTTTTGGCATAATTGTGGCATTTTGATAGAAAATAAAAATCTGGTGGCAAAAAATTCTGAACGATTACAATGGCTAACTCTCGCAACTGTAGCGTAGATCATCTAATTTAACTTTAAAAGAACCCTCAGAAGGAAAAATTATCACCCTTACATTAATAAATTGCTCATTCGCAATTCTGAAATCATGAAGATTGCTGTGAAAGGGCGCTTAGTTAGCAAGAGAACGTGTGAATCAAATTGGAGTGGTGATGCTATCTTGAAATTTTTGCAACGAACGTCGTGGCACCATGGATTCTGACAGCATATACCAGTACTATGTCCTTAGTGGTTCTTAATGAGTAAAAATGAAGTACATTGTGTACTCCATGAAGGCTTTAGATTTACAGGAGCACTGACACAGAAATTTTGCATCTTTTTTTTGTGTTGCAGTAGTGTGCTAATGACCCACTTATCATGACTGTAAAGCTCGTTTTTTCATCAAGAGCATGACGATTAATTATTTGGAGGTGGTTTTATGGCTCTCATTGACAGCTTCAAAGAGCCACCGAGTGAGACAGGAGCCAGGGTGGTTTCCATGTAAACATAGCTGACTGCGGGATCACGAACAGCGTCGCGCACATAAAAAAAAGAAAGCATGCACCACTTTCACAACTCTTCAACGAAGACTCTGTCCCAAAATGCACTACTGAGGCAAAGACATCGGCCCTCGTACTCTAAGCCTGCCCCCTTTTTTCGTCAAAAAGGTCTGCTAGTAGTAGTGGCTGGTTATTTACATGAAAACGAAAGATGCACTTCGTGTGTGGTGCAGTGACGCGCACTTAGAATGATTTTGAGTATGTTCTGGGCTGTATTATCTGTTGACATTTTGTATAGGTATTGTGTGTGTGTGTCCACACAAATCTATCTCATTAGTATTCTCTCCTTCAAAATTTTGTGTTGGTGCTCCTTTAATATATTGATATTCAGGAAGTTTGGTTCCCCGAAGTCGCCAAAATAAGAAAAATACACTTTGAAATCTGTGACGTCACATGTGGTGATTTTGGCATGAAATTAAAAAGTTAGATTATGGTAATAGCAAAATTCTAAAAGTCAATTTGAATATGAAACTATGAGTGTGAATCGAACTGAATAACTTTAAAATATTTCCCGAATATTTTTCAAGTACTTCGATGTGCAATTGCTCACAAAATAAAAAGTTGCAGAAGATTCCTAAGCATATTTTTATGAGGCAGCAACGTGAAAGTGTTTCTTTTGGCTAGGTTAGTTAAGTGCTGAAGGAGTGGTGTTCTGTAGTTGTCTTATCAGGAATGACACAATGCAAAAGCTGAATTGAATATATTTACACAATTGGGAGCAACCAATGTGGCGCCGGCAACATTCAAGATGGGCAAGGAAAAGAGTTTTCTCAGCTCATTCTCTTCCAACTCATGCGACAGACTAAGGCACGCTCCCTTTGAGTCCAGAGTTCCTCATCTGCCCCGTTGACATCAATGTGTAAAAAGGTCTGAAATTTTTCATGCGGAAAATCTTCGTCAGATTTTTGCCAGATTTTCTGGCCTGAAACAGCATTAAAACTGCCACCTCTGCTGCATAGGTTCGAACTATTGTTTTTGTGAGTTGACCCTTTCAAAAGGCCAGTAAACAACTCCGAGGTCTAAAAATTTTAATGAAGAGGAATATGCGTACTTTTGCTGTGTGAACATGCTGCCGTAAGAACTTTGCAAATGAGTATGTGCTATAATAAGTTACAGAAAGTTACATTTGTTTCAACCGGTGTGAAATCTTCGCATGGCCACTCGCCACCTTTCTCTGCGAAGGAGTAGCCTGTCGTTGTGACTCCACGCATTTCGGCAGTCCGTGATACATCATTGGCGTGCAACCAAAGACCGAGTGGGGCTTTCCCTACATCAGTACATGTCGTAGTGGCACAGGTAAAAAAACGAGGATCGGGGAGCACATTTTCTCTCACAGAAGGGAGAAGTGTGAGAACTCGGAGGCTTTTGTTCTGGCAACACCACCTCTCCCAGAGTCTCGGGCACTACAAAATGGTAGAGGGCAGCACAGAAAAATGAAAATGCGAACTGCTTGGCTGAAACTGCATCATTATAGGGCCAAGGTACTGTTTTGGAGGACAAAGAACCTATTTACGAGCTCAGTGGTTGGTGCGTAATGTTGACCATGGGCAAGCTTCTGTGCGACTGCGCGCATTAAGGGGATTTGTCAGGCGAGGGAAACAGTCACGGGATTGTTTTTTTGAAATGGAGGGCCTGCACGGCGCGCAGTGCCCTAAAATTTGACAAATGTGATCACCGCAGTTTACTGTATGAATTGGTGAGCTTGTTTGGGGAGTGTAAAAATAAAAAAGTCACAACTTTGCTGCAAAGGCAAAGCAATGAACATGGTGTCAACAAATTAAAAGGTCACGCGAAGAATGGCAAGCTGATCGAAACGTGCCCCGCGTTTCTCGTGCACAAATGGTGCACGAAATGTACTCACAGGTACAGATGAACGCGAATAACTTATGAGAAATGGTATAGAACCTGCAAAACATGCATAGCCGCTGAATACGTAGCTGTCTCTCAAGGAGCTTTCTCTATGGCTATGTGTACTCGTGCGCAGTTGTCAAGTGCAGTTCGTGACTGCGGCAGGGATGGTTGCACAAAATCAGTTTCACCGAAAAGGTGAAACAATAAATATGATGGCGACAAATTGCAATGTTATACGAAGTGAGGCTGGCAGTCAACTCATTCAGACCCGACCTCGGGTAACTCTACAAAACGCTGGTGTAAGAGAACACGGCCGCTCCAGGTACACTTCTGGCACCTTTTTTTTTTGTAGTGTTAGCGCAGCCCGTAGAAATTCCCGCCTGTTGGGGGGGGGGGGGGCACAAGGTGCGCGCTGATCGTTGCCGCGATATCGCGGCAATCATAAGCACTCTCCCACAACCCTTGTTTGCTCACGAGATAAGCGCGTGCGCAGACCACCGCGGCCGGGAAAGCGATGTTTGCTCCACGCCCGGTAACTACAACAGTAACTACAACAGAATTGTTCTGGTGAAAGCCCAAGGCTATGATTCTGCACGCCATAAAAACAGCACGCGTTAGTGTGCATCCCCCCCCCCCCCCCCGCTCACTGCTGGGCAAAGTACACGTGGGAGAAGAAAGTGCGCCGCCGCCGCGTCGTAATGCTCTGGCGACGCGCACTCGTTGTGCCATCTCGCTAGTAATGCTGATAACACGGTAGTTTTCCTGAGGTGGCCATCGCCAGTGGTAAGTGGTAGATATAAATAGCTTGCCGTTTCGACGTTCAAGGAGGTGCTCCTTTGTGGCCACAAGCAAGAGGTTGGACGTTCCGTGTGCTGGGGTCTTTTTCTGGATGATTTTGTTTCTTGCGTTTTGTATATATACAAATATGTATACATATATGGTGAATGACGTCGATGCCAGTGGCAAAATCCAGCTGAGAGAGTCCATATAGTTGCTATCGCAATAAAAATAGTACGAGCTTGTTTATTAGACCTTTAAGACTGTAACTGAGCCTGAAATGCAGCTTTGTCACAGTGACAGAGTGTCGTGTGGTAAAGCATAGCAAAAGTATGAAGGGGCCACTGTAACGTGATGTATTGATGGATAAGCACCGGAAATGCATTGAGACCTCATAGCATAAGGCAGAAAATGTGCCAATATGGCTTAATCATTTGCAACCTTTCTAATAAGCATCTTCAGCTGACTGCTCAGTAGCACTTGGTCTAGCGCAGCTAGTGACTAAGCGTGCTCTACAGACACGTCACGTTCATGAACGTAAGCAGCTCGCCATCGCCGTGTGCTTGTGCAGTTAGGAACGGAATGGGCATCGTGAGCCCCTTCATGACAAATACACGTAACATCATCATATCATCATCAATGTAATCATCATCATCATCATCATCATCATCATCATCCTGAATCACATTGAATCACTGTACTTTGACATGATTGCTGAAAAAGATTGCTAAATAAACTGAAACTGACTACGTCCACTGCAGGACAAAGGCCTCTCCCATGTTCCGCCAGTCAACTCGGTCCTGTGCTTGCTGCTGCCAATTTATACCCGTAAACTTCTTGATCTCATCTGCCCACCTAACCTTCTGTCTCCCCCTAACCCGCTTGCCTTCTCTGGGAATCCAGTTAGTTACTCTTAATGACCAGCGGTTATCCTGTCTACGCGCTACATGCCCGGCCGATGTCCATTTTCTCTTCTTGATTTAAACTATGATATCCTTAACCCCCGTTTGTTCCCTAATCCACTCTGCTCTTTTCTTGTTTCTTGAGGTTACACCTACCATTTTCCTTTCTATTGCTCGCTGTGTCGTCCTCAATTTAAGTTGAACCCTCTTTGTAAGTCTCCAGGTTTCTGCTCCGTAGCTAAGTACCGGCAAGATGCACCTGTTATACACCTTCCTCTTGAGGAATAGTGGCAATCTACCTGTCATGATTTGAGAGCGCTTGCCAAATGTGCTCCACCCCATTTTTATTCTTGTAGTTACTTCAATCTCGTGGTTCGGCTCCGCGGTTATTACCTGCCCTAAGTGGACATAGTCTTTTACAACTTCAAGTGCACTATTACCTATCTCGAAGCGCTCCTTCTTCCAAGGTTGTTATCCATTACTTTAGTTTGCTGCAGATTAATTTTAAGACCCACCTTTCTGCTCTCCTTTTCTAACTCCGTAATCATAAGTTGCAATTCGTCCCCTGAGTTACTTAGCAATGCTATGTCATCGGCTAAGCGCAGGTTACTAAGGTACTCTCCCTTAACTCTTATTCCTAACTGTTCCCATTCTAGGCCTCTGAAAACCTCCTGTAAGCACGCGGTAAATAGCATTGGGGAAATTGTATCCCCCTGCATTACACCCTTCTTGATTGGTATTCTGTTGCTTTCTTTATGAAGCAATATGGTAGCAGTTGATCCCCTGTAGATTTCTTCCAGGATGTTTATATATACTTCATCGACGCCCTGATTCCTGCAGTGTCTGCATTACTGCTGATATTTCTACTAAATCAAACGCCTTCTCGTAATCTATGAAGGCTATGTATAGTGGTTGGCTCTATTCTGAGCATATATCTATTACCTGATTGATAGTATGAATGTGGTCGATTGTTGAGTAGCCTGTTGGAAATCCTGCTTGTTCCTTTGGTTGATTTAATTCTCATGTTGTCTTAATTCTGTTAGAAATTACCTTTGTAAATAGCTTGTATACTATGGAGAGCAAGCTGATCGGCCTGTAATTCTTCAAGCCTTGTCATCTCCTTTCTTATGTATTAAGATGATGTTAGCATTCTTCCCAGATTTTGGTACTCCTTTTGTCAGGAGACACCTCGTAAATAAGGTGGTTAGTTTTTCTAACACAATCTGTCCTCCATCTTTCAGCAGATCTGATGTTACCTAATCCTTACCAGCAGCTTTGCCTCTTTGCATGCTCTCCAAAGCTTTTCTGACTTCTTCTATTATTACTGGTGGGGTGTCATCTGGGCCACTGCTAGTTCTTATATTAAAGTCGTGGTTGTCCCGGCTACTGCACAGATCTCTGTAAAACTCCTCCGCTATTTTAACTATCCTATTCATATTGGTAGTTATTTTGTCTTCCTTGTCCCTTAGTGCATACATCCGATTTTTGCCTATTCCAAGTTTTCTCTTCACTGCTTTGATGCTTCCTCCATTTTTCAGAACGTGTTTAATTCTCCCCATGTTATACCTTCTTAGATACCTTATGCTTATAAATCAACTTCGAAAGTTCGGCCAACTCTATTTTGTCTGTTGTACTTGAGGCTTTCATGCTTTGATGCTTCTTAATGAGATTCTTCGTTTCCTGGGACAGCTTGCTAGTTTATTGTCCAACTACCGTACCTCCAACTTCCATTGCACACTCCGTAATGATACTCGTCAGATTATCATTCATTGTCTCAACGTTAAGGCTGGTTTCCTCAAAAGTTGAGTACCTGTTCTGTAGCGAGACTCTCAATTCCTGTACTTTCCCTCTCAGTGCTAGCTCATTGATTGGCTTTTTGCGTATCAGTTTCTGTCGTTCTTTCTTCAAGTCGAGTCGAATTCAAGACTGTACCATTCTATGGCCACTGCATTGTACCTTGCCAAGTACTTCCACATCCTGCACGATGCGTGGGTGTGCACTCAGTATGAAGTCTATTTCGTTCTTATTTTCGCCATTAGAGCTCCTTCATGTGCACTTACAGTTCCCTCACTTTCGGAAGAAGGTATTTACGTATACATGTATGAGGTACATAAAGTGCCCAGGCAGTGACAAGGTTAGCTTAGTTGGCGATGTGCTGCATACAACTAGGAACGATCGGTGTCATGCGGCAACGAATGCTGCGTATTGTTGGAGATTCAGCTATTGTTTATGTTCACGTACACATCGGCAAAAGCCGGACGGGTCATCTGCTCTTCTGCCTCAGTGTGTGTTCCTCGTCATTGTTTCCTAATGCTCTTTGGGAGAGAGCTGTAGTCTGTTTGTTTTGTGCTTTACTGGTATCAGCGTTGCTCATCGCGAGACATAATTTTATGTCTGTAGTGAAGCAGGGTTTGTGGCTAGTACTGAATGCATTCACAAGAGCTTGGACGTGCACCAAAATGCTTTATATATAGGTATCTACTGGGAGGCATTGAGTGAGTGAAACAACTTTATTGACGATCCGGCATAAAGGGGGAAGGGGTAGGGGGATTAAAGCGAGACACTAGCGTGCTCGGACGTCCCGGAGCAGCAACCTACTCGCGTCAAACCCGTGGGGGCGCCGCTTTCGGCCGCTGGCGTTTTAGGAGGCATTAAAGTTATTGTGCATGTAGCTGTGGTGATCTGACCAGCTGAGCAGAGTGGGGATGCATGAAGCTGTTTTTTGTTTTTTGTAAAAGGGGGTGGCAGGGGGGGACTGTTTGATTTTTTTGGATGATTTCATGGTCTCTAGAAAGCCCCTCGCCCCCCAAAAAAAGAAAATTGGACGTTGGCCTTCCCGAATTTCGAACACTTGACTAAGTAAAATTCTAGTGCGGATCAAATAGCAAACACTATTGGAGAAATATACAGAAATTCAAATATTTGTACACTCCTATTAAGAACGAGACCTTTACCTTGCTTTTCTCCTTACTAACGAACCTGTGATGGTAAAATTAACATTAGAGCTCTCAGAGTACAATTTATAAATCTCAACTGATTTATTTTTTCACTATAGTCTTCTTTGAAAGATATAATGGAAATCAGTCTGCTTCACTGGCAGTTGATAGTCTTGCCACATATCTTTCTGCAGGTGCCTGAACAATGGTCAGCATAAGGCTGGGGATTGCCACGCCCAAATCATGCTGAATGCTGCTGTCGGCGGTCATGAAGGGCCTGCTTAGACCAAGAGACATGTCTAGCCATGAAAAGGGTCCTGCTGAAACACTTTCTGGTGAGATTAGTTCTATTTTATTTTCATTGTTCCGTAAGAACATTCATATTCTGTAAATTTGTGTCATATAACCCGCCCCTCGATTGTACCATGACCCGCACCGCTAACTCTAACTCTACAAGAAGAAAGAAAAATGCATATGAGCCTTGCATTTGACTCACACCCTCCTTTTTAAGCACATTTTCTTGTGTTTTGGTGCTGGTTAAATGAAAGAAAAAGTGGTATATGCATAAAAACTACAAAAGGTTTACACCACTCTAGCCTAAAATGCCAGGATGAGGGGTGTTTTTATGTCATGGAGAAAAACACTGCGTGTGCATGTGTGTCAGTATGTCCATGGTGGCTCTCTTGTCTGCATGGTGCTGCTTTAGCATTGGAACTAGTAGTATGTTTTTTGTTAAGACCCTTCTTTGTTTGCAGTGTGTGTGTTTGATTGGCTCTCATGTTTCTGTTCTGTAGCTGGGTTATACTTTGCCTAGACTTCACTCGTGCGAGCTTGCGCGTGCGAGACATGTTTTCTTCTATTCCTTTAGCTTTTATGGCGAAGTTGTTTGGTGTGGTTCCCTGTGTGGTACTCGTTACATGCTGCAGCATCTTTTGGAAAGCATTTAGCGGATTATTGGGAAGCGTAACTTCCACGTATTTTACAGTGAGCTTTGCGGCATTTCCTACGGCATATTTATGTGACGACACAAAAGAAATAGTGAATTTCTGGTTAATAAGTGCACAATTTGAATGATTAGATGCTTCTGGAAGCATTATAATAGGTACGAATTTGGCCTGTGACGAATTTAGACGAATTGCTGCTGTGACGGAACATATTAAGGCTGTGACTTGCCTGTTATCTTGGCCAATGATCAAAAGCAGTGGGAAGTTCTCGAATATGTTGTTGATGTGTAGGGTAGTCTTTAGCTAAATAAATGTTAAACATTTGATGATTGTGCTTCCAGCAATATCTAATTTACAGTATTCTGTACTTTGTTCTTATGCTATCTTCCACTTCACAGCAGCTTCCTGAAATACACTTGCAAGCTAGTGCCTTTCAGTGGGATCAAGTACTGTTCTTTCAGTTTAGTGTCTAGTCTGTATTTTAACAGCCGAGCTGTTCAAGCTGGCCATCAGAACTGATCTCCACACAAAGCCACAGTAGGGTATGCGCCACTGTGGTCGGGCAAGGACCACTATCGAGTTCAGCAGGTGAGAGCATTGAAGGAACACTCTGCTGAGCGAAGTGGCGCACATGAACGAGAAGGAGAGAGAGAAAAAGATACAAAATAGAAAGAAAGGCAAAGGGAGAAAAAGATAGTAAGAAAAGAGAAAGAATAAAAAAAAGATGGGGAGATAGAAATAAAGAGAGGGAAGCAGCGAGGGAGAAAGATAATAGTAAGATACAGAAATAAAAATTGAATTGAGCGAGAAAGATAGAAATACAAGAAGGTAACAAATACAAAAAAACAAACTTAAAGAAAGAGAAGAAAGAAAAAACAAACAAGGAAAGCCACCCAGTTCTACTTTTTAGGCTTGTGCGAATATTCGAATTCTTAGAATATTCGAACAAATATTAGTGTATTCAAATTCACTTTGATTAGGATTTGAACTATTAAAAAATTCTCAAGTATTTGAAATTAACGAATAGTTGCATATTAATCCACATGTAATTTTTTGTAAAGATGGTTTTACTGCAGTGGAAGGGTGCTAAACCATGAAAGCACCTGTTTAAACATTAATTTGCATGTAACATTTTGTAAAGATGGTTTCACTGCAGCAAATAGGTACTAAGCCGTGAAAACACTTATTCAGGAGAAGTTTGCATTGCCGCGAAGCCTCACTTCAAGGTTAAATGAACATATTAACCTCACATCAATTAATCACATCGATTAATAATTTTTTAAGTTTAAAGTTTGTTATAAGAGAATAAATGCTTTTATTAAATTTTAACACGTAACATATTTTGCAGGTAATCACTTGCATTCTATTGAAAGTCAAATTAAGCTCATATTTATTTCCACTTCTTTTCAACCAAAAAGAAAGGTATTTGCACAAGCCTTGTTCAATTTTAAAAAAAGTGCTGTGCAAGTTAGTTTGGTCATGACAAGTATGCTCGTTTTTTGTGTAGTAGGTAATACATTCTATTGGAATTCGATTAGAAATTATTCGACCAAAGACGCTCTTTGCTTCGAATTCGCTTAGAATCTGAAATTCACTATTCCCACATGTCTACTACTTTTTCTTTAGGCTTGACAACGCTACTGTGAGGCTGCCATAGTTATTGTTTTTTTGTTTAGTTCATTATACCCATAAAGACCCACAAATGGTTATTATATAGGGGAGCAGACTCGTGCAGCAAATCTATGTTTGTTTACACATCAGGCAAGAATATACAAAGTAATGAAATAGAGCTATATACGCGGAGTACATTTATCTAATGAAAATTGGATAAGAGATGGAAAATTGAAAAAACAAACAAATACCGTGTAACAAAAAGAGCAACTAAAACGAAGTCATGTTTGAAAGTTAGACAAGTTTACAATTGACAAATAAATGAATAATATGACTAGGCCCAAACAATGGGCATGTATGTAGTTAAAAAAGTGATCACAACAGTAAAAAAAAATTACACTCAGCATATCATGAAAAATTTTTAAAAGGGTAGATGGAATGAATACTTACTTAGTTGCATAAAAATTTCTGAAAAATTGTGGAATTGGCTCGCATGCTAGTGTGGCATCCCTGCTATAGTTGGGGATGAAGGAGTTGGCATAATGAGTTACTCTTGCTTATACGCTTGATTTAGTTGCCCATATTGGCCATGCAGCTGTTATGGGCAGCCGGGAAGTGATCAGCAATCTGGACAAGGTGCTGCTTCACCTCGAGACCAAGGAGTTCTCGGTGGAGCCCCTGATCCTTCAGTCGCTGCAGCAGCTCACCCAGTGGGTCGCTGACCTCACGCTGTATCTCATGGCCTCTCTGCCGCAGCAGGTCTACAACAACATGCGTTTCCCAGGGGTGCGTGGTGTCCGAACCTATTTGCATTGAAACTGCTGTGCAAAACTTCAGCAATAGCCTTCGTGTGATCCTTCACTATGAGAGGTGTTGGCAAGTGTTGGTGTTAACCGGAGAATGGCTATTTACACCGCTTGGGCACTATCTTGTACACGCTTTGTGATGGAACGTTCTGCCATGCCACACAAAATCGGTCAAGGCACATATGTATGCTGAGATGTGAGAACAGCAACCAGAATAATTTTGTCGTCTGCTAGGTGAAGATAAGGCATATAATGGACAGAGACGTCATTCTGTCTGATAGAGCATATATTGAATGGTCTCTGGATGCCTTGGATTACTAGATTAAGACATAATCTCTTGGGCCGGAAAAGTAAGGCGACCTGCCTTGTGCGGGGCTTGCATGACAGAACACGCCAAATGCTGCAGGGCGTGTTCGGCTGGTACGCTATCTACATGGCTGGTTTTAAACTTCAAGTTGGTCGAGCATGCGATGGAGCACAGGAACTCACCGGCTGGACGACACTTCTGCGTTGATCCGTGCGTGTTCGTTACGGAAGGAAACAAGAAGAGCTTCGGGCTACAAGAATGGTTCCACAGGCATTTTGCGAACCAAGACAAGCAAAACCGTCATGCGAAATTTAGAGCTGGTATGACTCCCGTGACTTTTTTCTCCCGCATGATGAACCCTCCTCCAAATCGGCGCAAACTTTTCTGGAAAAAAAAAAAAAAAAAAAAGGTGGGATCATTACGCGAGTTAATACGGCAGTTGTAAGAAAATTATTTTTAGTCTACATTGTTGGCATGGCGACCCGTTACAGAAAACAGATTGGTAACAGGACAAAGAAACGGAAAATGCTGTGGCTTTTATAATGTACCTATGTTGCAATGAAGTGTTGCATACAAAGTAGTGCCTAAGGCCTGCATGTAAACTCATTAAAGGGGCCCTGAAACACTTTTTTGAGTAACCATGAAATTAATTCACTGGACAAGCGTATTGTCCTCAAAAAATCAACGTTGCGAAAATTTTAAGAATCTGTCCAGTACGAGCGGAGTTACAAAGATTTGTCACACGCTGCAATCGCATTCTCTCTTCTTTCATCCCGACAAAAGCACTGGAAGCTAAGCAGGGAAGGACAAACAAAGAACGTCACGCGCGCCTCATGACCTTGAGCACTTTTTTTTTTCTTCGAATGCGACCGAGTGTGACCGCGCGTGCACGGATGGACAAGTAGCGGCCTCTCGCGGTGATCTCTGTAACGATCGAGTAGCGCCATGTTCAAATCAGCCAATAGCTGATAGATGGGCTTACTACGAGTTATTTTTGGGCTTATTTTCTGATTTGTCGAAAGAAGAGACAGCAATTTTTAGCTGACTGATAAATTATTGTGAATTCTGAACTGCGTGCTGCGCTATAATATTTGGCTCGCGTGTTGTCGGGAGCCTCTACTACCGATCGGCAGCATTTTCTGACCATGCTCAAAAAATCTTGCAGGGCCCCTTCAAGTCGAAAAGTCTTGGATACCTCATTAAAAGCAAAAATTGACTGGTGGCAGCGTTAGTGTGGCAAAAACACAAGTGATGCAAAAAATTATCACGTGACGATGCCATCATATTATATCCTGATGACATCACAAATTGGGAGCTTGTGTGATGGCATGATGATGTTACCGTAGTGTCGCGAAACGTGACGTCACATGACATCATCAGTTGGTTGAAGGCCAAGTTGGCCACTTGGTTGAGGGCCGATCATGGGGGCAGTGTAAAACCAGGTAAGGGGCTTAAACCTTTTGGAGCCGTCTTAAGTGAGTGGATGTGGGACCCTGTCAGTTTTTATATTCTCGTCCCCGTATGCTTGTGTGTTATCGCGAACTCTTATATCATATTGTTTTCTGCACAGGGTGGCCTCATCTCGGATGCCAAGTCCTTGAACATGCTTCGTGAGCTCTTGGTCATTTTTCGCATGTGGGGATTCATCAGCGAGAGCTGTCTGCCCTCCTACACCAAGATGACAGGTACCAGCTGGTTTGAACGCCGCAGGATTTTTAAATTAACAAAAGTTGAAGGAGGGCTCACACATACCTTAAAAGTAGCATCTTGTATCTGAAAGGATGGCACTTAAAAAGTGTGAAGGTTGTGAGAAATTTGTATGGTGGCTTGTCAGTTTAAATTCTTAAATTGGTCCACAAATATCACAGCTGTCATCATTGACATTAGCTTGACCTCATAGACAGAGCAAGAATTCGCTGATGCTGTGAAAATCTCAGGGGCAACCGTGCAAGTCACAAGGCCACACTCCACAACTTTGCCACACTACAACACAATATACAGGTTATATATATGAAAGTGTTTTAAGTGTTACAAAACCAATGACTTATGAAACAGACTGTCCGTACAATCATAACATAAAAGTGAGCTTCAGGCATTTATTTTTTGCCTCTAACATCATACTGCATATATGTTATTTTCAAGGATTAAACACCGATTCCTCTCCCTGCTTCTATGTATGTCATACATACAAGTACATGTCCGCTTATAATGAAGCCCTCATACTGTGGGCACTTCGTGTGTTACAATGGAGCTTGCATTAAGTTCCGACTGTATGAGTACCTGACGACATTCTGTACTTCTTAATACGACTCAAAAGTGTCAATCTCTTCAGATGGAGTATTTTAGTACAAAAGTTAATAAAGTGGTTTTTGTTGATTCTGTCCACATCTTTTCTTTAAGTAATGAAACGTTTTGTTTTCACTTATGCTTTCTTTCCAGACAACCTGGATGTGCTCTCTCTCTTATTTAAGCTTTTAACAAAGACTCTGCTCAACCATGGCTCGGAACCTGATGAGACTCTTTTGGGTAAGCATGTGGACATGCATTAAGGGAAATTCAGTGATTCTAGTGCTCACTAAAGTTCTTTTTCTTTTTTTGGCAGCAAGGGTGCACTGTTAATAATGTGCAGCAGTGTACCAGGAAGTGTTATGAACCAACTGGAATTTGTTGATTTCAGATGAGTGTTGCCTTTTACCAAGTCAGATACTAATACCCTCCATTGATCTTGGAAACCACACTGAAGGCAAGTACAACTTTTGTCACGTAATTTAATTTTCTGTACTACAAAAAACCTCATTGTGTTGAGCCTTAGTGAGATGGCTCTAAACCTTAATTATATGTAAAATTTTTTTTTACTTTTCGTGCCCCATTAAAATGGCTTTGACCGTTATATGTGCGTAACATTTTTCAGTTACTTTTCCAGTGGAAACGAAGGCTCATGAGCATTTTTTGTGATGCCACCAGCAATCTTGAATGTAAAGGTTTTCAGTCTGCTTAAAATTTTGTGAAGGCTGAGGCTGCGGGGGTATTTCATGTTTGCTGCTGGTCTTGCAGCTCGTGGTGTGTGACGTGTCATTGCAACGCTAAGAAGTACGTATCAATGTGGCTCATGAACCTGATTGAGGTTGGTATTGATTCGTTCACATAGGTTTGCGGTGACGGTATGGCTTTTGTAAAGCCAAGAGAGATCTTAAAATGGCAATGTGTGTATACCCTGTCACAAGGAAGCCGATAAAAACACTTTGCAAGGGTGCGTGAAAGATAGAGAATGATGCCAGTGGTGGGAAACCTGCGCAATTGCACCAACCTGCGTCAACTAGAAATTGCTGCATCATACTGCTCCAAAAGGGTCTTTTTTGTCTGATTTGTGCCATTGCTGCGCCACAAGGTGGTTCTGTAACCAAAAGTAATGTTGACAGCACTCACCATGAGTGGATTTTATGTGATGGTCACCATCTCGTAGCACTTGCACTGCTGCAAAAGCACGGAATCGGTCAATCAGTTACTTGACTTCCACACGATTGTGCCGGTGCCTTTTCTGGCAACCATTGGCAAAGAACGAAGGGGATGTGTCGACTACTGAAAAGGGCACCAGTATGACTTATGGCCGACAAAAGAGACGTGTGTGGCGCTGCGCCGCTCTAGGTGTAGTGCATGCTTTTAATAGCCAGCGACTAAGCGCTGAGGCCCCAATCACTGCTGCCTCAATAATTGTGCGGGACCGTGTTTAGCGTGCACTGCTTTGCAGAAACAAAACAACCTTGCTGTTGTGGAGTTGGGCGTTGTGGATCATATGCACCGAGACGGCAAGCGTAGCACACGCTTTTATGAGATGACAGGCCGAACGCGCCTCTGTCAGCTGTCAGGGCTGCTAAAGCATCATTTGTAGAAAGCTTGCATCATTGCGTTAACGCAACAGGCTTCTTGCCGCATCTGTGCACGGCCTCAAGTGAAGTGGGCGCAAGCGACTCAGCACGGTGTGTTTGCCATGTAGGCGAAGCACTGCACTGCAACTAGCCAATAGACGATCGGCTCCCTGCAACCTACTGCGTTTGAAAAAGAATGCGTCAGTTTTTACTAAGCAGATCATAGTACGCATATATCGCGGACAGCCAACTATGTCTGTTTCGTCGCTATGTCAGTCGCTGCGTTGGTTGCGTATCCTGGACTCCGCAGTAGTTTCAAAATGCTATTCGGCGTCGCTAACGCGTGCCATTGGATGACGGTCGTGCGAGAACGCCAACCATTTCTGAACATTGGCAGGAAGAAAGAAATGGCTTCATGGTAGGCACTTTAGGCAACATTTGCTGTGAGACTGTATTTATTCCTTCTTCAGTGGTGATGGGGCACGTAAGGAAATGCAAAGTGGTACTTGGTCATAGGTGTGTGCACGGAGGGAATGGGGAGGGGGGAAGGGGGGGCGCAAAGTTAGCCCCATAAATTGACATGATAGAGAGGGGGCACTGCAATGGACCTTTGTCCCCCACCCATAAAGGGGAACGCTGCGCACACTTATGTACTTAGTGGTTAATGCATGCTATGTTTAATGCATATTTAGCAGCATTCCTGGCAGGATCTCGGCATGTATGCACATATTAACGAGGTTTCACTTTAATGAGCGTTGAATGCGTAGGTGTATATGTTTGTGTGGGTGTGTGTTTACGTACATGCTGCTATAAACTTGATTCTGCAGCTAGGTTGGTGCAGTATCGTTCCCTATGGACGAAATTTACACAGCACTGACCACTGTAAGAAATATATTCAAAATGTCCTTTTTCACCATCTTATGTCACCATCTTATGCCAGTAGTACAAAAAGCAGAGCTAGTTAGTATTGCATTGTAAAATAGCACACACACACACACATGCACACACAAAAAAAACACGAGGACACATGAAGCGGTCGTGTTGTTTTCTTCCTGTGTCCTCATGTTTTTTTTTTGCGCTGTTTCACAATTACAATCTTATGTCACTGCTTCTGTACATAATCCTACTTTTGTTTATTTTTCGTGCTTATTTCATGGGCTTGCTGCTTTTGTATAAACGATTATGTATACTGAGGGAACGTTAAACTAAATGAAAGCTAAGTTTTCTTCCTCTGCGCATGTCATGGAAAGCCTGTGCGTGCTCCAATGGCTGCTGCAAAAAGCTGGAAGGCGTTCTTACCACTTTGATGCTTGTTTCCTTTCTGCACCTGGGCTTGCAGCCAACCAGAATTGCAAGCTGAGAAGGGTGAACGGCAGCTGCATACAAATACTTACATATTACACTATCCTTCTCGCATACAACTTCAGTCCCTGTTAGATGTTAGTTCATTAGATGATGTAGCAGTGCGCTGGGGATACTTAATTAACCGATCAGGTTTAAAAAATTCTCAGCCTGACAATAATATTGGCAAGGACTAAAAGCTGGGCCAGTTGGTGACAGTACTTGAACATACTTTAACACAGCGCATGACTGCACGGAGATAAAGAAAGAAGGGACATACTGCAGCGGCCGAGGTTTGTCCCTTCTTTTCTTGTGTCCACATAGTCGTGCGCTGTGTTGAAATAAGTTCAAATAATATTGGCACCTGTGTGTGCACTAAAATGCACCATCCTCACTTTTGTATTCCATTTTTTTTTCTTTTTTGTAATGTGCAGGTGTGGCCAGTCCTGCATTCTTTCTCAACTCATTGCCTATGCAGTTCGAATTTGGTATAACTCCAGACTTTCTACATGTGTCTTCCAAGTCTCACCCTGTGGAAGGATCTGTGTGCATGCCGAGCAAGATGGACATTGTGCGGCATATTAGCCTTGGAACGAACCCGTCTTCAGCGAGGCACTGTACTAGGCACGTTGGCTGCCACTTGATACAACTACTAGTTTATTTGGCAAGAACAAATTTAAGATGCTGTTACCATATTTTGTTTGGTGCATTTCACAGGGAGTCTAAACAAAGACTGAAAGTGGACATTGTCCTTACAAAGTCTTTACCTTAGCAGAGTGTACTTACAGGCATTTAGTTTCTCCTGCCTTTGTGAAGCCGTATTACTTGCAATGTAGATGCATCGTGTCGACTCTATAAAGGCCTTACTATTGTACAAACCCATATCATTGAATTCTTTTATCAATCACGTGCTTAGAGATAGAATCACCTTTGACTCACAGTTTGTTGTGTTGGTGGTCTGACAAATGTAGCAACGTTTATCTGTTAACATTTGAATGAACGTATGTATGAGCTAGTTGGCATAAGCAGCAAGCAAATTGTGGCCTTGGCTTTTTGTTGATTCATTGTGATGATGCAACACCTGTGAATGCATGTTACAATTAGCAGGTTGGCCGAAATTTGATAAGCTTATAATATTCAAGTCTGCACGAGCCAAGGTAATTTTATAAAATGGGTTTGCCCTAAACGAGTACTGACACAAATTTTAAATATTTTCAGGTTGTTGGTCTTAATAAAAATGTGGCTTTTGACAACCTTGAAAAAGAGTTTCACAGTGCTTCAAAATGTATTAAATATATCTATTTACTATATCGACACTGTACTGTACAATTATGGTTACTGTATTGACAGGGTGACTTTGCTTCCTTGGAATGTGTTGCTGCAAATGATCAACTTTTATTGTTCCCAAACTAGTTGAAGGAATCAAAGCAATTTTGGATGAACTCCTGCATCGTCCATCAGAATTGTGCTGGCTGAATTGTTAATGCTCAATTCCCATACGTACTTACAATTCCACAATCATGCAGTTGTTCCACAATCATGCAGTTGCTTTAGCCAAGAAATGAAACATAGTTCGTGCAGCTTACAAACCATGTGTTGGTGCAGCAATCCACAGATGGGCAATAAAAAAAAGCAATGGCCGAATTCTTGCATAATTGCCTGGAGCATCACACTCTTGTTTCTTTTACGCAGACTCAAATGTTAAGTTTCACAACGCTTGAGAAGGTAGCAGTTTTCTGTCAGCTGACACTTCAAAATAACTGTTGCTGCACAATTAAGTGCCCTCAGTTCTGTGTAGTAGGAGCTCTATTGAAACCTATTCTTGCTGTATTGAGGCCTGTTTCGGAACTCAGCTTGCAAGTTGAATTGTTGTTGGCTTAATTTGCAGGTGCTTCTCCACATCAATGGTCCGGCCTGGAGTGAAGGCAGGCACTATCCGAGCCTGGGAACAGCGATGGGTGCGGTTTTGTCCCTGTGGAGGCCAGTGGAGGCTTGTTGCATAGCCAAGGGCCATTCATCTATTGTACATACATTCACTCACTGTAAATGAAAATGCATCCTACTGTATATATATTCTGCTTGTTTCTTGTTGAATTTGATTTACTGGGCTTAGCCAGCAATCATAGATGTCAAACATTGTACAGGGTTGCCCACATTTAAGGTGAATACCTCGTTAGTATTTAAGCCTGTAGAACTGAAACTTTTGTTCTATTTCATGAAAGAAGTGTGCATTATATGACATTAGAGAGTTTTCGAGTAGGGGCTCCAAAAGTTTCGGGTCCCAAAGAAAATAGCGTCGAAGCCACTGCGCATGCGCGAAACCCAAACCATGTTTGGGTTTTGCATTAGGGATGCTATTTCTCGAATTTAGCGGGAGCCCCAAAGCATGCCCTGACAGTTTTGCGTAAGACAAATGTGATGGCACCCACTAAAGTGATCGCTGTCGGCCAGTATGGAGGGACGCAGAGGTGGGTGAGTGTTCAAAGCGCCACAGACTCTATACGAAAAATCTTCACTCCTGCTTGACCCAAAGGGTGCATACTCAAAAACCTTTGGAGCCCCCAACTTTTGGGGCCCCTATCTGAAAACTTCCTATTTAATCACAGTGTCGATTAAAAAAAGAAAAATGCCAAAGTTTGCACTAAGCCACAGAAGGCTTAACCAGCAAAACAGAATGATTCTGAAAACCAATCTTGTTGCTTCTAGGTTGTTTCCAAGCCTTAGCTAGGTGCTGCAGGTTGTTTCTCGGTTGCTTCTAGGTTGTGGGGATAGGTTTGCTGAAGCATCTTACCCTATGAATCGACTGGCGAAGGACGCGACGCTCTCCACTGCCGACGCACACGACGCTACGGCTGGGTTCGTCGATTCCCCGACATGACACAGAGAAGGCACACGAGGTGGGTCGTCAACAAACTTGGTTTATATTAACAAAAGATATGGCACAATGCGACAATCACAGACTTGCGGACTGCCAGAGAAACTCTGCAAGGTCGACTGTGAGTGTTCTTGCCGGCAGGTGCAACAGCTATTACACTAAGGGCAGCAGTCGAGAGCACGTACACGAAGCTGCCTGCTAAAGCAGCGCGTCTATGTCTCGTGCAGGCCTCTGATTACAGCTGAACCCCTTTATAAGAGGCATGCTCTGGGCAGCAGTTCTTGTCTTTTACATGAGATGTCTCTTATAAGCTGGGTACCAGGTATGCATTTTCCTATTAACCCGTAGTTTACTGTAGGCACACTGGTGCCTGATACCCATTTGTCTTTCATATCAGCGTCTCTTATAAAGGGGATCTCCCAAAGCTCGAGCATGCCAGCCACAAGCAAGCTAACAGGAAAGAGGCTGCTATGGGGGACAGCCAATCAGGACCTGTGCAGCACCGTGATGAGTGCTGGCGCGACTGCAGAGGGAGGCATTGTCCAGGAATTTTCAGACACGTATCTCCGTGGAGGGAAAATCAACGCACGGCTTGCTATATGGAAAGGCCTGGCAACGAAACCACGGCAACCATGTTCCCAGCGCTTGACTCGCACAGGGCAAGCACTCGCGCTAGCTGGGAAACAAGGTGCCAAAGGGAAGGGCACATTCGTCTACCGCAAGGTCCTTTGCTAGGTTTTAGCGAGGTTATACTAGGTTTCTTTCCCATTTATTCTCACTGCAGAGAGGTTTCAGTGACACGCCAGTCACAGACACAACACGGATATCCAAACTTTAAAGACAGAAACTTGCGCAGAATCCAAGCATTAGCACCTCTCATAGATCTACGGACATGTTTTTGTCGGCGTAGGCGTTCCATTGCCTTGGGTTCTTCTCACAGCCACCGTTGCCTTTCCCATTACTAGTACATCCTCGCACGTACTTGGGCGTTTTTGGCTTGCCGCCATCACTTCGGAGCCATTTCTTGGGCTAAATGTTGGCTTCAATTTTAGTGAATTCTCGAGCAGATGCTCCCCAACAGCGAAAGGTAATAGATTTTAAGGCAGGGGCAGCAGAAGGGCTGATAAGAATAGATAATGCACACCCGTGTTTTTAATAAAATGTTGCATTGAATACACTTGCATACACCGTTTGTATTTACCCTTGCCGAGCGAATAGAAGCAGTCAGTGAAAGTTAAACAGCATGAAGAGAGGGGGGCATCACTTGCTCATGATTTTACGGTGCTAAGTTCTATGGCACATACCAATTTACGATAGATTTCTGGTAGGCCATACAATGGCAAATACTCATGATGATATGTTTTTGTGATCAATTCACAAGAAACAATTTGGTAAACAGATTGCAAGTTACCCAGTACGCCATAAATCAATTTTTGTGAAGCAGTGAAGCACTCCCGATGCCATTCGTATTTGTCATTCTGCGAAGAAACGAGGTACTCACTAAACCTCTGTCAGTGATTATGTGCACTTGGTTGATGCTAAAATAACTGCTTAAACCTAAAGGCTGCTTACTAATAGTGTGCATACTTATTTGGGAAGGCTTGCTTATAGGGCAAGTATAGGTAATAAATAGTGCTGTGCACCGCCCCAGTGTGTTGTGTTGCTAAAGTTGTAGTTATGAGTTTGATTCATGGCCCACACTATCGCCAAGGCCGCATTTTTTGAAGTGGTGTTATTTGCAGTAACACCTGTGTACTTGGATGTAGGCAACTATGATGTTCCTCATGATCATAGGGCAGGTTAGGCATGTAAAACTTCACCAATCATCATTAGTGCACCGTCTCCATCCACTACTGTTGGTATATTTTATAACGTGGCTTTTCTGTGGTCTAGTTAATCACAACGTATCACTTCTGTAAACAGTGCAATTATGTGCAGTTTACTTGTGCTATGAGTTGAAAATTTTTAGTTGGCTTTCCTGCCATAAATAGACAAGCCCAAGCATGTGCAACTGGGACCTCCTTTTCGTTTGAAGAACAACGGAGGCCGCCACTAGTTGGGCGAGTGTACAGTGCAGGGAAGCTCACTTGGGAATTCTCAGCTTCAAAGATTCACTTGATTGGTATGCATCACACAGTAAAAAGGTGTCATTAGGACAACTAGGAATCCAAAGTACATCAAGTGAAAGTTTGATCTCATGTATATGTATCGAATTTTATAGGGGCTCGTACATTTTGCACAATCTACGAATATGTGAATACAGCGTAACTAGATTGCACTGATCTCGTCACACTTAAATGGGAACTCTTCGGGCTGCTGGTTGGTGGCCTGCATGTCGAGGTAGTCTTCCCAGTACTTGCACGACTGGTCCTTGAATTCTTCCTTCGAATCTATGGCAAGCTCGTTCTGGGTGCCGTTCTGGCTGCTCCGGCCGCGGTTGCTTAGGAATATGTAGTGAGGGTTGTCCCGCGTGTACTGTGGCCATGGACGGCCACTCTTCAGTGTTGGCAAGTCTCTGCGCATGCAAATTGTACCGATCTGGTGAACAATTTATGAAATTGTCATTATCCGGTGGTAAAATTGTCACATGTGTGTGGCAGTATTGGCGGTACATTTTATGAGATTGGTCCCGCTTACGACACAGAGTTCTGGAGCCACGGTCAGATTGCTAGTGAATCACGAATAATGAAAATTTGAGACTTTTACACTGCTTGTATGCAAAATAAGTACTATATTTACGTATTCATCAAGAAAATAAAAATGCATTGATGTCCTATGCATTTGTATATTCTTTTCTGGACATGTTCTACAATTCAACATTCCTTTCATTTGAATGTTTTTTCTAGTCCCGTGAAATCCTAACTAACAAGCTTTTACTGTATTAACATTGCCTGTTCTATTTCTTAGGTTGGGCTGCGTTCCACTCATCTGTACGTGTTTCTTGTCCATTTAATATATTAGTGCTTAAAGGCAAGTGGGCTAAGCAACCAGCTAGCTCTTTCCTCACATTTTTGTATCAGGATATTTGCAGATTAAGCTGTAGTAGTATGTGCAAGTATTTGAAAGCCCTTATATGAATATAATATGGTCTCGGCTCTGCGTTCCCGTTCAATGCTACAGTTTACATTTAGAAAAGTATTCCTTCTGTTAGAATAACAACGCTTAAGAGTCAAGGGGCAGAGAGAGAATCCATCAGTTTAAAGCACCACTACGTAACCAGGTACACCAGAGTTGTCAATGCCGTGAAAGTGGTACATTCTATAAAGCGTAATACATTTGCAAAAGTTCTCTCATGTAAAGACGCCTTTAGGGTGTGCTGATTGACTACAAAAATTTCTAAGATACATTCAGAAGGAACCTTGGTGCCAGGACCTTTCCATTACAGTTAGGAAAGTTAACTGGGTCGTACTAATTATGATCGGTATATTTTATTTATGTGTTGTGCTAGTAAATTCAAAATTTTTTTGCGACTTAGCAATGTATATGTTTGGGCCAGCTTGTAATAATGATTTTTTCTTTATAGCAACATACTTCTGAAACAACGAACAAAAGAAATGCGACATATTCTTTTAAGGTTTTTGTTGATATTATTCTAAACATTGTGATGCTATATATAAACATTATAGAATTTCTATCTCTCACAAGAAGCTGGAGTTTTCAAAAGGTTCTAAAGTGCACGACAAAATGTAGGTACAAAGATATGAAAATCAGCTTAATATCGCTCACTCTTCTCTCAACAAATGATGCCCTATACCCAAAGTCTATGACTGTTGGCTGATTTGAGTATTTTGAGCAGCATGGTTTTTGTGGGTGCTGTGGCATGCCACCCCGTGCCCGGGCGTCTAAAGAAAAAAAAAAAAGAAGCTCAAGGTCATGACAGGCGCAGACAGGTGGAAGGCATCTCCTTGCCCCTCTGTCATCCTCCTCCCTGCGGAACTTTGTGCGTGTGCTGCTATGAAAGGAGAGAGGAAGCGCTTGAAGCGGGCGACACATTGCTAATACTTGACAGAATCTAAAAACTTTTGTGGCGTGTCATTTGCGAAGCGTCATGCGCGAATAGTCTCGTATAACTCAGGAAAGTTTGGCACAACCACTTAAGGATTTAAGTTATACGCTAACTTGTTCAAGAGATTGTTTTATGTACTTGTAATTTTGCAAACCATGTTAAACAATCTCAGTGCACTTTTACAACCATAGCTCTGCGATTTCACAATCGCATAGCTAATAGTGTTTATATGCAAATAATCATTTCATCATGTCACATAGCTATTTGAAGCCAGTATGACTCTGCTTGCCTATCATTTCCATGTTGTCTGAACTATTGTAAAAGGTCCGTTATGCAAATATTGGCTTGAACAGCCCATATTGCCATTTAGTTGAACCTCGTTGTAACGATTAACGTTGTAGCAAAAAATGGGTTATATAACAAACGAAATACAAACTTTGGTTAATCATGCTTTGCTTTTTTCAATAGAAATGTAGTTTGCGTGTGGCTTATAACTCATAAAGTAGCATAAAAAATTGTATGACAGGCCAACTACTGTGAAACCTAAAAATGTACGCAGCATTGGCACCCAGTAGTTTCCAGTTGCAGAGTTCCCACTGCTCCGTCTACCAAAGCGTCGATCATGCGAATGTTTGCGATAAGCATGTGAAGTTTCCTGCGCACTAGTAGAATATTGTTAAGGAGGTTCACTAGCTCGATGTGCGACAAGTGCGTTACTTTTTGTTGTGCTCTACTGGATTCCTGCTTCTTACAGCAGTTGAGATATGCGTCGTGTGCGGCGAGTTTTGTCAGGTTGTTTCCCCTATTTAGCGACGCAGCACTGGCGAGGTGTGAAGGGGAGGAGCATTCGCTCGCTTGGCTAGGCTGTGGCGCCCTCTCTAGCGTGGCCCTAGAGTCTGCCGCAGAGTAAAGTAACATCGCCTGAAACTTGTAGTAAAAAAGAAACTATTTTTACTAATGTCTAAACATGTAACGTTTTATTGAGTAGCTTCATGATAGTTTCGACTAAGTTGATAAAGTGAATCAAGTTTCTTTTGAAAACAGTTATTGCTTCCGAAACGTATTTAGTGATTTTTAGTTTGACAACTTATTTGTTATTTGTGTTAATTATAATATTTAGATTTTATTCATTTAATCTAACTCAGTTTTGAGTATTGCTGGCATTGTTATGGCCTGTATAGAGTGCATTACTGTGATCATGCCATACGAGATGCATAGACGGATGACAAGCCAGTCCGTTAGAGTGCTCAGCGTTTTATAAATTCAAGACAACACACAACAACATATTTTTTCAAATTCAAAGGATTTCTTCGCGTACTTCGGCGACATTGAGTGTATCTATTCATCTAGCCGCCTACGACTTTTAGCTCTCCTGGCTGTTTCGATAGTGGTATTGATACCAAAATTGGTATCGAATAACATGATGGTATGACAAGCATAACTGACTAGTCATAACATGAAAATAGTGATACATATGTCATGAATGTCATGATTTACACTTCATGGTCTTGCTGCTCTTGCGGTAGTTTCGTTCACATGACATAGTATTGCAAACCTGGTATGGTATGACATACCATTTTGAGCCTTTCGTTCCTGTATCAATGTCCAGAGGGATCAATATACAGAGGGAGGGCTTTCCCAGCACCAAGGTCATACCGGGGGTCAACTTGTTTGACGCGACAATGGAAAGATCAAACGGGTCGGTGGCGTCGAGCCCCCAGCTCCAGAGATTAAACTATATGAGATGTCAACTAGTACAGGGCGCTGGGTTTTCAAGGTCTCGTTCCTGTGGTTTGGGGACGACTGTGAATGCAAAAGTTGCTATGGTTCTTTGCAGCATAAAGCTTGAGGTCAGTGTACAGCCACCACGCATAAGTTAAGAACCGCCACAGTCTCTCCCTTATGCTGCCAAAACTACTGCCGTGGTTGCTTTGGCTCCCCCGGCAGAATATGTGGCGGGACGCGCGCGTATGAACGCACGAGGCGACAAGTCACTGCATCGTCTTTCGGTTCTTCGCTTGAGGCATTTTAGTTCCCTTTTTCTTTCAGAGACGGCAAATTGTTGGCAGTTATGAGAGAACCGTAGTGTTACCTCGTCTTTTTTTTCTCGCCAGACATTGGGTTCACTCAGGCGAACGCGGCCACACCAAATTCTTGGCGAAAACAACGGCGGCAACGGGCCCGTTGAGCGATACTGCACGCGTGCAGCGTGGGCGGCATCGCGCATTAAACGATCCAAGCTTATCATCCTCTGGCTGACGTCTGACGCGTGCTCACGCGATATCAGTCGGCTGCAGCTTCAAACAAATGACAGCAACGATATATTGTCACGGCTGCTGCAGCCCGATACATTGACATAATAGGGGGGGGGGGGAGACTGCGACGAACCTTCGCCTCCCCTCTGAAGCAGATCTCTGCGCACGCCGATGATCTTACTCATGAGCAGTACGTGTATCTATAATGTTAAAATAGTCGGGAAGTAACCACTTGTTCGTTTCGTGCTCCCACACTCCAATGGGCCCAACGAACTGCAGGTGACAGAACCGGCTCCCTCAGCGTGCACTGCCCGCAACGTACTGCATGGTGAAACTTAAGAGGCAGGCCTTAATGTAGAAATCATGACATGCATGTCATGTAAGTCATGACTACATGCCATGCTCATGGTGCGCTCATTGTTGTTTCGCTAACTTCATCTATACCAAATTTGGTATTACAGGACATGAATGGATGACGAAGTTATGTGACTGGTGCAAACATGATAATAATGATGTGTGTGTCATGTAAAATGCAACTACATGCTACGCTCACAGCGTGCTTGCGGCCGTTTCACTAGCTCCACATATACCAAATTCACTATCACGTGACGTGAATAGACGACGAATGTAAATGACTTCCAACCATAATAATCATGACATGGAAGTCATGTACGGCATAATTTACGTCTGCGTTGTAATGTTGTGTTGATTTTAATGTGACATATCAACTTTCCTCATTCGTGCTTCACCTATCATCGATTTCCACTTTACGTGGGATCTGGAAATTTTTTTCAAAATGAGGTATTGAAGTTGTAATTGTCTCAGACAACAGTTTGGTGCACAGTCTCGATTGTGTTGAAGGCAGTTAATTTGTTGTTTCGACTGCCAAGCGCAACTTGTACTCTGCAGCCCTAGGACAACGCATTCAGTATGTGTGCCTGTGTGAGCCAGATTGCCGATATACTGTCACAACAAATATTCGATGTAACTTATGGTCCATATTCTACTTCTTTATAACCAGTTTGTGCTGCACCTAGGGTTGTGTGGTAAAACACACCAGTACTGAAACCTTATATAATATACAGGCTGAACTCAAGAGCACTCTCACCCGGACTTTGCAAATTCGCCCCACTGCTTCATTATCGTGTGCGAGAAGGTGATTTCTGATGGGTACAGCTGAGCACCAAACACGGCAATCACATCGTCCAGCTGGGTGGCATCCTTGTTGAGCGGTTTCAGCTTCTTCATTGCCTCCGGCTGGTAATCGTACACAAAGTAGTTGACCCGATTTCCGGCGTCCGAGAAAATGTTTGCGAACCTTTTCATTGGACACACGTACAAGAGGTCGCCCAGTACTTCTGAGGCCAAATCGATGAAGTTTGGCTGCTGCTGCACTTTCTCCGGGTTTGCCAGGTAGCACCTGGACGCATGTAGTAATGTGATATGAATTTCAAAATCATTGTGGAACTACAATCACTGCACAGACCATAGCATCATTTCAAAGTTCCTTATCATCCTCTTTAGATTACAGCACACTTCAGCTCTCTTGCCTCAACCAGATTGACAAAGTAGCCTATCTGTTGCAGGAAGTCACGAAACCCAAAAAAAGTGTGGGCAGGTTGCATTAGTAGCATAAAACTGGGCCTAGAGGAGCTTGTGGCCGACCTAGATTATAAGCAAGGTGTTAATGAATATGGCTTTGATCAACATAAATTTAATAAGCCTAATCATTTATAGGGACATTTTAATTAGTACAGCTTTTGATCATAATGACTAATTGGCATAGTCTTAGCAAGGACATCTTTCTGTTCTGTTTCTTCTGTTTATTTGTTCTGTGCTTTCATTTTTTCTTTTGAAAAACACGGACATTGAAGAAATGCCTGCGTTGCACATTGATCGTGTCAATCTCGATGGTGTGCTGGTCACGGGCTTTATTACACACAAAATGACTAGGCGATATTAGAAAATTCATAAGTATGACCATGCTCATTTTTCGAACGTGTGTTCCACAAGCGCGAACTGTTTATAGTCAATCTTGAGATTATTTAAAGGATGAAAAGAGCATGTGCCGGCTGAGTTATTGCGTTCCTTGCACTAGACGTAGTTTTGCATCTGCTTGTAGTTTTTTTTTATTTTTGGATCGGTTGGGTAGACTTAACATTGGGTTACAGTGATATACTAAATGTCAGTCATTAGTAATAAATAAATTAATGTATTTGTATGAAGACAGACATTTTCGAACAAGGTTTTGATGTGCACCTGTACACATACACATACAAAATGTAAAATTTGTGAGCGATTATAGTGCTAACGTGTAGAGCAACTAATTGAAGTATTTCTCTTCACATTGCCATTGACGTGAAATTGGTGTTAGGTTAGTAGGATAGAAGAATCATTAAAGCTGCTTGCGCACGTACTTGATGATCTTCTCCAGATATGGGATGTGGTAGGGTTCAAGGTATTTGAGTAGCCTGTCGATGATCTCTTCCCTGTTGGTGCTGTGCAGCTCGTAGTAGGTCAAGTTACGGAACTCGTGCGCCACAAGCATTCCACCTTCGTTCCGCACGTTGCCGACAAGCACCTGGCAATGTAGACGTGCATTTACGGAACAACGTTACCAGAAAATTTGGGAAATAAGGTGTGTTTTACAGGTTCTTTTTAGCTATGGTGCTGGCAAAGAGTTGTGAGAATCTCATGGAGTCATGGTTTGTCAGCTAATAATGATCTGTAGTAAAATAGTGCCACCTGTAGTTGACCATAAGACTTGACAGTAATTAACAGTACGTATAGACGCGCGAGTCAATACAAGTAGTCATGATCTTAGCCGTGCATTACGGGTAAGGACAAAACTAGGCAATTTCAACTTTGTCGCAAAAACGCAAAAGTGCTTTTGGTTGCATTGCGGAAGAAATAGACTCCGCTCTAACAAAACAAAGTGCCATTTTTATCTCTTTACTTAGTCTTAGGTTGTCAGATATTACTTTGTTTAAAGATATACGTTAACTCTCTTTAGAGGTCATTGTACTCTCTTCGTAGCGCTGCTCTCCAGAAGTAGTCGATACTTTTTCTTCTTGTAGACTGGGTCATCGCATCACACAGCCAGCCTTGGCCAGTCGCGCTTCGCGAAACCACTTCTTTAGCCTTTACCATCGTAGTAGTGGCACAATAGGCATAGGCGTGTGCAGGACTCAAGGTTTTATTGTAGGTCCCTCTCCCCATGGTTCATCGGGTACAAAAAAACAACGTGCTTCATGGATGAAAAAAAATCTCAGCATATCCACAGACTGAATGATGAGCGGGCGAAGCTCCGGGAAACTGTGAATCCTCAGTGAATTTTGCCCAGTAGATCATCAAAACGTGACAAACGCTGTATATATACAAAATATAACTGTGTTCGTAAATAGTAGCGAGATATTGCTTCCGTTACCCCTTAATTATAACTGCTTTATGGTCGGTAAAGTGAAGGGAGAGTTCTCCGCTCCTCCACTTTGTCTTCATCGCTTATACTCGAAGCGTGCCTACTGCCGAGCGAAAGGGGAAGTGCCCCAAGAGCGAACGCAGTTTATAGTTGTGGCCCCTAGCAGTCTCTTATCACACTAGCACTCATCGGAGTGAGCGCATTCACCTAATGAGAGCGAGCTCATGTGCACCTCAAAGTTATTCGATTAAATTCAATGTGCTCAATTCTCAATGAGAATGCAATTAAAATCCAATGAGCTGTGAGTGCAGATGCGCCATCTAGTGGTCTCCTATCACCCTAAAGCACGTGTCTCCTACGCATCCAATGCATCAGAGGGGCGCGAGTGCCGCAGCGCCATCTGCCGAGCACTCCGAGTACTGGGGGCGGCTACGATGGACAAACTTCAAGGAGCTTTGCCCCTAAAACAAGTGAAAATGAAACCATTACATGCTTCTCACCATGACATGCCTTTGGTCCCAACCAAGGAGCATAAAAAAAATGCTGGAGTGGAAATCATCACCTAGGAGTGAAGCCGTGCCTCTGGCAATATGGCGGCTGCGGCGGCCATCTTACTAAGGGCATGATAATGTATCTCCGTGCAGCGATTAAGAACAGAGCGTTTCCCTCGCACGACCAACGAGTGTAATGTGGAAACTTTTTCGGGTAACATAGTGTTCCAAGTGCGTCTTAGTGGTACTAGTTTTCCTTAGAGAGCCTCTAATTGGTGGAAAAGTTTTTGTGCAATTCAGTCACCCATACTCGTTTCTGTGCGTTATTTCGTTGGGAACAACTATATTTTAATATACAACTAACGTAGAATTTACACCGACATATTAAAGCCACTTGATCTCAAAGTGGGCACTATAAAAAAAGAACATGTTCCCGACATCTTGGCAGTGGCAGAAGCTGGCTTCATATCTGCTGGCAAGGCATTGCGGGAGCTTCCACTCCAGCAATTTTTTTTTAATCCTCCTTGGTACCAACACGTGGTTTCTAAGAGTGAGTGTAGTTGTTTGGTTCGCGGTAGGCAGTGCCGGCAGCCGCAGCTTTGCTAGCGAAGTGCAAGCGCCGAAGCATGGGGTTACTTTTTGGCCTTTATCTCTTTCTCCGTGTGTGGTTATCGGAAAACAGAGCTATTTGTGGACTGGACAAGGTACAAAAAAAAAGTGCCGCCATATCCACGAAGTGAATGATGATGAGTGGGCGAAGTTCTGGAGGAAAACCTGGTAAACCATGAATCTTCTGTACATTTTGCCTACTCGATTTTATTACAATGCTCCCCCTAGCGTACGTCGCCGCACTAAATCGAACGATTGCCTTCCACCAATGACACGTGCCATATGTGACATCTTTCCTATTCTATAACATCTCGCATCTTTCATCATCAACTACAAGTACCGCCGTCTAGTTTATAACATCTTGCATCTTTTCATCATCAGCTACAAGTCCCGCCATCTAGTAAACACTACAAGAACTAAACGAGAGGAGGCGACATACAGGAGACGGTACCGCCATCTAGTGGACACTGCAAGAACTAAACGAGAGGTGGCTACATACAGGGGACGCACAGCCCACGCCTTAAGGAGCTTCGCCCCTAATAAAAGGAGCAGGCGCGCTAAGGTAGTGCGAACTGGTACAGCATGACTGATATCGCACCTGCGCACTGTGTCCCGTCGACTGCGACAGCATGCTCTCGTACGGCAGCGGCATGAACGAGTCGTGCGTTATCGGATAGTGATCTTTGGTGAGCGCTGGACGGAGACGCTCCGTAGGCGTCATGTGCACGCAAGTTACCGCGGAGGCCAGGTCCACGAGGCTCGAGTCGTCCGCGGTGTTGAGACAGTGGGCTCGCTGTGCCACCTCCTCGATTGGGTCGTTGTTCGAACGGGCCGGGAAAGGCATCAGCGGGGAACCGCTGCAAGGGAAGCGCAGAACGAGTGGCCGATCTGCAAGCGGGCTTGTCATTACTGCTCCACATAATGGTGGTGGTAGTGGTTAGAAGGAAGAGGAAAAAGGCACCTAATTTCTGTCTGCCTTCAGGCGACACGGCGCAGTGCCTTATAGGGGTGGGGGGAAGGAGGGATAAAACGAATAGAAGGAAAATAGATGAAGAAATAGACAGGCAAGCAGCGGAAAAAAGAAGGAGATAGGAAAGTGGGGATCCGGTCGAAGCAGTCCAAGGGCGGGGCACCACAATGCGAGAGCTGCACGGCGTCAGGAGACCGCGGAGGGCGAACCAGTCGGCGGGAGCTACGCTGGCGTCGGAGATCGCGAGGGCACAACCGTCCAGCTTGAAATCCTGCGAGCGAATCCCCTCACATAATGCTCAAGGCTGAAGGAAGAGAAGTTGCAGCACAAATCGAGAGTGGGGTGGGGGTGGGGGAATTGAGGCAGTTACGCACTGCTGGTGCGATGGCAAATAGCCGAGCTGGTGCCCTTGTCCTCCTCGTCACCCTCGCTTCTCTTTGCCACCCTCTTGCTGGAACTGTACATGGTTATGCTGGGCTTTACCCTCTTCCATTCCTTCCTCGCCGTCACATAGCTCCTCACCCACAGTTTTCTTTCCCACCCCTCGCTATAACATACTCCAAGTAGTTAAGCTCCCCCTCACCCTCACTTTCACGCCTCTTAATCGACTATATTACACATGGATGTGCTATGCTTTACCTTCTTTACCCTCCTTTCGATCCCTGTCACCGTCACTTCCCCTTTCCACCTTTTTTACTAAGCTATGCGTACGCATCCACTTCGGCTGCTAGTTTTTAAGAGTCGTCTGCTACGGACTCAACTAAAACTCGCGCAGCTACAGCATTGCATCAAGCCTCTTTTCGCCATAAGAAGCGCCTAAAACTCGCGCAGCTACAGCATTGCATCAAGCCCCTTTTCGCCATAGGAAGCGCCTAAAACTCGCGCAGCTACAGCATTGCATCAAGCCCCTTTTCGCCATAGGAAGCGCCAACCAATGTATACCTGTGCATTAAGGCGCGTCTAGTGAAACCTCGCGTCATGGGCGACAGCAGGTGGTAGCCGGCGGCCACTGCGCCTCCCCCGACGCCCATGAGGACGATGTTGTGCGGGTTGCCGCCGAAGCTGAAGATGTTGTCTCGCACCCAGCGAAGCATTATGGCCTGTTCGAAAAAGTTCAAGTGGAACAACGAGAAAATCACTTAACCTTTTTTTTTTGCTTTTAATTAAGGGTATGCCTCTTGAGCAGTCAGGCATGGTAGCTTAGCAGAAACTTAAGGGGCCCCGCCGCGGTGGTCTAGTGGCTAAGGTACTCGGCTACTGACCCGCAGGTCGCGGAATCAAATCCCGGCTGCGGCGGCTGCATTTTAGATGGAGGTGAAAATGCTGTAGGTCCGTGTACTCAGATTTGGGTGCACGTTAAAGAACCCCAGGTGGTCAAAATTTCCGGAGTCCTCCACTACGGCGTCTCTGATAATCGCATGGTGGTTTTGGGACGTTAAACCCCACATATCACCTTATCAGTAAGAAATTTAAGTGTCGCAAGGACGCGGGTTGGATTCCCGACCACGGCTGCTGCATTTTGTTGGGCCCGAAATGCATGAACACCCTCTACTGAGATGTAGGTGCGTATTAACTAGTGAGATCCCCGACTATACGTGGATCTCACTAGCCCTCCACTGCGGCTTGCCTCATGATCTTATTTATGGCTTTGGCAGGTAAAAACACTTATGCTATATACTTATAATCAAAGTTTATATATATATATATATATATATATATATATATATATATATATATATATATATATATATATATATATATATATATATATAGAGAGAGAGAGAGAGAGAGAGAGAGAGAGAGAGAGGAGATGGGTCATTCCATATCAAGTGTACGTTCTTGATCAATTTTCGACCATCTCTGATCATGCTGGAAAAAAAAATCATGCATGTATATGTGAATGTGAGAACTAGTTATTAAGGTGTTATCTCTCTCAAAAAAAGCTTTGTGTTGCCTAAAGGGCGCTTCATGCTTAGAGCGCCCAAGTGAAACTGCGTCACGCCAAATAATTTGTCTAATATTATTGGTTTCAGTAATTAATGTGAAACACTTTTATCATTAATCTCAAGGCGCTACTCTTTGATGGCTATGATAGTTTATTCGTTTGTGTTTTAATTTTTTTTCTTTTTCGCCTTGTCGAAAAATTGCAATATGCTGTATGTTGAGTGTTTTTTTATAAGCTCAGATTTTTTCGACAGCATTATATTTACATCTTATGCTTCATGTGTTTCTATATTAAATTAGTAAAATGCTTCGAGAGCAAATGAAGCAAAATTATTGCCAAAAAGATGTGGGAAAGTTGGGGAAAACTGCATTTTGACTCATATTCTGGCTTAATTTTTGCAATGTGGCAGTCTAGGTAAAAATACGGCTTTTCTATTGTTGCATAGTATAGTTTGTCAGTAAAATAAACAGAAAGTTTCAAAAGAGTACTTTTTGTTTTAAAGGAGAAAGAATAATCTAATTGAACAACCACAAGGTAGTAAAAAGCCTGCCTTTGCTTCACCTTCACGGCAAAGCATGTGGTCTTTTTTTGTCGAAAAAAAAGAGAAAAAAAGCCCTATAGAGTGGCGTTCGTGTTCACGGGCAAAGAAGCGCTGACGTTCCAAACGTGCAGGCTCGGCCTCTATGGCGGGAAGGAAAACGCTAATTTATGATGCGCCCTCTCCCATCTTCTTAGACCTCACAGCAGTCCCCTCATGATTTGCCCTCCCCCTCCTTTCCTTCGCCTCCCTCTCACCTATATGTAATTGTTGAGTCATCGTAGAGCTGTGGCCACGTTTCGCATGACGGGGCATCGTAATCGCTGTGATCAACGTTGTTAGCATTAATAATATTTCCGAGATAGGCAGCACTTCGGCGCTGTCGCAACAGTGGCCTTGCCAGAGCCGTAAGCCGCCTTTAGAATGCAGGTAAGTCACCTGGTCCAGCAGGCCCATGTTGCCGGCTGCCCGCTGCTTTCCGCTGCGCATAAAGCCTAGCGCTCCGAGCCGGTAGTTGGGCACTACAACTACCACGCCCGTCTGGTTGACGAATCTGCGCGGGTCGGCGAAGAAGTACGAGTTGCCGCCGCTGGCGAAGTGCAGGTCGATGAGCGCCACCAGGACCGCGCTGTGTCCCGCTCCGGCGACGCCCCCGGGGCCTCTGAGCTGGTCGTACGCAGAGCTGGCCGTGGGCGTGTAGATGTCCAGGTGGAGGCAGTCTTCGGACGTGTTGGACGCATCGATCAGGGTGGCGTTGCCGTAGTACAGGTTGTGCTGCACGCACGGGTAGCGTGGGTTGCGGCCGTCAAACGACTGCGTGCCCGCGGGCATTGGCTCTGGCCGCCGGAACCGCAGGTAGCCCATGGGAGTCTTGGCATAAGGAACGCCGTAAAACGCAGATACCTGCGCGCCAGAATGTGTGGCGAACCGCGCGTTAGCCACTCGCTTCTGGCCTCGGAGATAGCTCTGACCTTGGTGATCTGTTAGGTGATAAAGGGCTGCCATGTCGAAGACACAACTGATTTATAATTGATTTCCTCGCGATTCATTCGGCAATGGCCAGTACAGATCTTGCTTTCGATATGTCAGTCGCCAAGGGTACGCGATTTTCCCCCCTTTTCGCTAAGACGTCAAACTTTTCGGGTGGTCTTTGGTTATGGTGCTCGAGTGCTCATCCGAAGGTAGCGGGATCGAATCCCGACCGTGGTGGTCGGATTTTGGTGGAGGCCGAATGCTCGATGCCCGTGGGCTTATGCTTATGTGCTCGCTAAATACACTCCAGGTCAGTGGCGGATCCAGAGGCACTACCCTCCCTTCAGTGCCTCTCGTACGTCCACCTTCTGTCGCAGATTAGTCAAATGAGTGGGACCACTGTAAACACAAATTAACAGTATTTATATATGCAGTGGTCGGGGTTTTTGTGATGATAGTTAACTATTAAAAACAAGAGTCAGGACCACTCCGTGGTCGGGATACGCCCCCTCCCATCTTGTGTTTTTCTTCAAGCAACACCCCCCACCCCCCAAAAAATGAGTGGCTAAAGCCGCCTCTGCTCCACGTGGTCAAAGCTTCTGGAGCTCTCCGCTACGACGTCTCTCAATTATATCGTGGTACTGAGACGTAAATCCCCAACAATTACTATATTACGACAACGTCATACGTGCGTTAGATGCACGGTTACTTTTCTAACCACTTCCTCTAACGAAAGGAACGAAGAATCCTGGTGCTCATGCTGCAGACTCGCTCGTTGGCGTGTTACCTCGAGGTTCTTGAATGTGCGTCCGTAGACGGTGCCGATGTCGAGATGCGCTTCCGGTTCCTTGTGCACCTCGACGAAGATGACGAAGAAGAAGTAGGCCGTGAACACGAGCACGTTGGTGGCCGTCACTCCGTGCCACCACCTGCGCACGCCGTATGCGCCTCATTACGGAGAACACACCGTGAGTATCAGAGAAGGCAGTTGTTCTAACTACAGCTGAATGCAGCAGAGATGTTCAGCAAAAGACCCGCAATCTAGAGAATGATCCATGAAAGGAAAACAAATAAAGCAACCACCCGTTGTAGTATGCGGTTAACAAGCAGAATCCACAAAGAATTCTCAGAATTAATGCTTTCTATAGGTGACCAGCAATCAACAACTCGGAGTGCAAGAACACTCGAGTTGGCAATTAAGCTCTGAACTGCTGCTATTTTCTTCGTTATAATTTTGCCAACTCGGGGCTTGAGAGAGCTCATTGCAAGGGCTGAAATGAAGCCTGTACATGCGTATACACAAAACCTGAGGATCAAAGAAGTTCGTTTTGAAACTCTGTCACAATGTACATTCATATTCCATTGAGTCTAGTCCTCCGTAGCGCAAGTGGAATTGTTACGGATACAGTAAGCATAAATTGTTTCGCGTTTCACCTTTAGTAGGTGAAGGATGAACTCATATATACCACTGTTACTTACATGTACATCCTCAGTTGTGACCGTCTTCAATCCGCCAACCACAACAGGCTCCATAGAGCCGTTGAAACAGTTCGGCGATTGTTGTTCCTAGTGAATTATTCAGCTATAATATGCCCCAATTCCGGATCTCAGCCCTACACGATCACACTCAAAAACTCACTACAGATAGGTTTATGTATATAAAGAAAACTGATGGCGGCGTACGTGTCATGCTGAGGCAGCCATACTAGGGTTATATAGGGTCACGTCGACAGACGTGCCTGCATCATTTTTAATTGAGGGCTATCTATGACAACTACACGGTACAGTAAATATTCTATGCACCGACCACGTAGAGCCAAATGTGTACGGACGGCTTGCGAGTAACAATCTGCATTGTGTATCGCATATCGTGGTGTGTGGTCGTAAAGCATGAAGACGTCAAATAATGTGTGCTATGGTCTGTAATGTGGTGCCTGCCCTGCAGCGACACCGCAACCTTGTTTATCACGACGCAGACTGATGTAGTGGCATTGAATCCGCCGTTCACATTTGGTAGGGTTTTAGTAGGTACCGGGGCAACCAGTATGACGTGAACAAAAGCCTCCGAGATCATGAGGCGTTTCGCGTCTTTTCCGCTAGGCCGTGGTATCGTTAAAAAGGTGGATTGAGATTGAAAGCAGCACTGACCTGTAGGTGAAGGTGGCCTTAGCCGCTTGGACTCGCTCAGCCCGACCCTTGCTGGACGAGATGAAGTGAGCTTGCATCGCAGCTTCTCAGGGTTAGGCGATGGAGAGCTGAAGTGGCTATACCGCCGACAAAAGACAACGCAAAATGTATTGAAGCGATACTAAAAAAAAAAAAAAAAACGTTGGTCTTTCCGTTGTAGCAATCGGTATAACACGAAAGTGGAACGTGTCCTCACAGAAGTATATAATTGAATGTTTGTTGTAAATAGATATACGAGAGCTTGCATAATGTTTATTGGTGATTGGCATATATAGCGCCGGTTGGTGTGACGCACCGCTTGTCTCGTCTCCTCTCTACCCTGCCCTTGATTTCTCACAAAGCGAGTGGGGAATGCGGTGTGGCAGCCAGGCGAACGCCGGAGAACTGTGTTTTATTAAAGGTGATTGCTACGATCGAGGCTTGGGTTAAAGCCGCTACCTCGCGGTGTGTTATGGCAACACTTTTTTTCTTTTGGAAACGCGCCGAACGGGCGTAGTCAGGGTGTAGCACACCGCCCCCCCCCCCCTCGCTCCCGAAATTTTTTTTCGCCATGGCATACAGAGCACAACCCGCAAACCCGGCCCACAATTCAAAGCAATGTGGTCCCCCCCCCCCTCCCCCAAGCTCCATCATAAACAAAAATCTTGCCTATGCTCATGGTTGCTGTAGAGTTACCTTTGGGGGTACGCATTACTTCACTGATACTGCTTCTAAAGGGAGGAACCATATTTTCCTAAAAGTGACTAAAGGGGACTCTGGCGCTGCGACCATGGTAATGATAGATAGTACACAAATTTGCCTAGTCTAGGCCGCACTTGTGGATTTGTTTGTTTATTGTTGTGTTTTGGTTTACGCACCGTCTTGAACTTTGGGACCCGATTTGAATTGATGAGCCTGCAGGATTAACTTTGGGACCCGATTTGAATTGATGAGCCTGCAGGATTAAAGTGGTGAAGTGCAGCTGCTGAACATTTGTCGATTGTCGGCTCACGACAAAGCTGCTTCAGACCACGTGACGAAGCCGAAAGAACGAAGATTAGACACATATGTGTACAACCCATCATTCCCATGGTGCCTGAATGCCGCGCATTGCATGTCCCATAGCCACAAGCGCCAGAGTTCCCTCTAGTGTGTCTATAGGAAACTCTATGGGCGGCACCACCTGCACGAACAAAGAGCACTGCGAGACGAAAGTGTGAGGCATAACATGCGCATTCGTAGACCTTGCTTCATGTGGCCAAGTAGGTAAAGCGCCTGCCAGCTATTGTTACGGACCAAGAGGTCGTAGCATCGACGACCGTCAAGATAGTTTTTCTCGTAATTTTTTTTTCTTTGCCATCAAGTGTCGTGCATCTTGCTGACGTATTTCCGTGACGGAAATACGTCATTAATGTCTTGGTGAACGCTGTTATAAAATACTTCCGTGTTTTACAAGGAAAAGTGGGTGCGGTACAGGATTTGCTGAAGTTTGCATCGTTATTTCATTGGTACAATAGTTTTGACTATTGGCTGAGAAGCGTAAGTGGAAAAAAAAAGAGTCATATTTAAAATTTTGTTGCTACAGCATTCATGTTAAGTTTCGCGTATCTTAGCACCTTCTGCACTGGATTGGATGTAAGTTTAAAATTATTTTTACCGGCGAAGCACCTTAAAGCCTCGCAATGTCCGTCCGTCTGTAATCCGTCGGCGCCGTAGTGCGCAGTCGAAGCGCAGGTGCGCCATCTGTGCGGTGCCGCGCGAAAAACAACCGCATTGATTAACTATATTAGAGCACACCGTCAGTACGTTCATCCGTCGTCCGTCCGCCCTTTATACTCGACGGTGACTTCAACGTAGACATTATGGACCATAGGACCCAGCTTCATGGAGATGCGTGGATTCTAAATTATGGATGTAAAATAAATACTGGTAAACATCCTGTGTGGCCGTGCATGTTGGCTTCTGTATCATAGTGATTTCTGCTAATGAAGCAATCCAATTTGGAAAGCAAAAAAAAAAAAACATTTCGTAACGTAATCGTGCCGTACACCGTTTCACGACCTTGGTTTGAAGGTGGTGCGTAGACCTTATCACAGATTGCTCCCTGAACGGCGCCACAAGCCTCCCTGGGCTGCGTTGAATAGGCGCGACCCCCCAAAAATGCACTTCCGGGGCTGTGACGTCAGCCTTCGTTGTTAAGTAATTCTAGAAAAGGAGGGAGGAAGGCACCTAATTTCTGTCTGCCTTTTGGGCGACACGGCACAGTGCCTTTTAGCCTTCGTACTGTCGTACCACAGCCCAGCCTGGCGGCGTTTTTGCTCTCACATGAACAGGTCTGCACGAGGGGGACAAATTATACAGAAAACTCGAAATAGACAAGGGCTGCATACACATCGGACCCGCGCGTTGCTTTGGGACAAAAAAAAACAGTAAGCGAACCAAACACTCATAAATGTTATCCCTCGAATATAAGTACGCAAATTGTGAGCGTAGTTATCTTCGAGGGATAACATTTGTGAGTGTTTAACCTTGTTTATTTTGCCATTGTCTCTCACTTTCTACAGATTGTTCTACAGTTTGATAGTCTTAATAATAATATAATGAAGGAATGATGACAACAAAAGGGAACAGCAAGCATCATCGCAGAGTAAGACACCACGAGATCGGCGCTCGAGCTCCTCCATCTTCCTCGTCCTGTCGCTATCTCCAATCTCCCACCTGCCCGTTTGGTTCGCTCAATAAACCTCTTTATATTTGATGGATCGTGCTGGGTGACCACATCGCCTACAACCTGGAACTCCAATCCCGCACCCTCCGTCGACCATGCAAGTTGACGCTGCCCAACAAACAATACCTCTCGCGGCCGCTACTTGCCCCGGCCTGGTTCATCAGCGAGACCCCCCGATCTTTGCCGGCACCGAAGACCAGGACGTCGAGGACTGGCTGTCGTCATACGAGAAAGTCAGTAGACCCAACAGGTGGGATGACGCTGCTAAGTTAGGCACTGTCAATTTTTATCTCACCGACGTGGCCAAGCTGTGGTATACGAACCACAAAACCGAGTTCGCGAGTTGGTCCACCTTCAAGGAGGCAATATGTGCCGTTTTTCGTCGTCCTGCCTTACGGAAGCTACGCGCCAAACAACGTCTGCGCACACGGGCACAGGAGCCAGGTGAAACTTTCACATCATATATAGAAGATGTGATCGATCTCTGCCGGCGCGTCGATGCTTCCATGAGCAAGAGTGCGAAGATACAGCACATTATGAAGGGCGTCGACGATGACGTTTTCCAGAGGCTTCTCGCGAAGTCTCCTAGCACTGTGGCAGAAGTAGCGACTTTGTGCCAAAGCTATGATGAAGTGCGGAAGCAACGAGCTCAGACGCGACGCTCATTCCAGACAATCCAACCAGTGACCGCACTGGACGCTATGACTGACCAGACAAACCTTCTCGCACAATTGAAAGACTTAGTGCGAGAGGAAGTCCTCGGCAGCTTTCTCTGCTGCCTTTTGCTCAACGCCAGGAGCTCTCGCACCAACAGCCACTGCGACACCCACCACCATTGGCTCCCATGCTCCGACATGTGGTCCAGGAGCAGATTTCCGAGGCTATGCCGGTGCCCTTGCAGCAGCCCCCCGTCACCGCGCCTCTTACTTACGCTGAGGCACTAAAGCGGCAGCAGCGACACCACCCCCCGCCGTTCCAGGGACTGCCGTACACCTCAGCCCCGACTCAGCCGTCCACCGCCTGGGTTCCTCCCATTGCCACCACAGCCTCGACTCACCCGTCTGCCGCATGGACTAGTCCCCTCGTCGCCAATACTTGGAGAACGCGCGATAACCGGCCCATCTGTTTTGCGTGCGGCGGCCCTGGCCATATCGCCCGTTACTGCCGTCGTCGCGTTCCGGGATACACAGACGCCCGGACACAGAAGAGCTTCATGGACCTTTCTCCATCACGTCTGGAAAATTCTGACCCTCAGTCAAGCTCGTCCTCACGGGAATGTCCGCGTACTATGTCTGGTCACTCACCTTCACCCCGTCGTCGCTCCCTGTCACCCATGCATCGTCGGCCAGCTTCTGAACACGAGGGAAACTGACCGCCACAGTTCAGGAGGCAAGAACTGCGCTGTCGAAATGCTCAAGTCCTCGGACATTGTCGTCGAATATTGTCGAAGTTTTTGTAGAAGGTACTCGAGCATATGCTCTAGTAGATACTGGTGCTGCCGTTTCCGTGATAGACGCTAAACTTTGCCGCAAGCTCCGAAAAGTGACGACGCCTCTTAATATGATGTCCTTGCAAACAGTGAATGAGGACCCGGTTCAGCCTGTAGCCGCCTGTACTGTCCGACTGATGATCGCGAAGGACCACTACACTGTTGAGTTTATTGTCCTTTCGTCATGCTCACACGACATCATACTTGGATGGGATTTTTTATCGCGTAACAATACCGTTATTGGTTGTGCAAGATCGGAGCTTGAACTTTTCCCGTTTTACGACCAACCAACCAGCCGCATTCAGCCCGCCGTACACAAACTCGTCGTCAAAGAAGGCATTGAAATTCCTCCGACAGCAGCTGTGTTGCTCCCCGTGTTCTGTGACGGCATTAGGAACGAAGCTGCATTCTTTGAACCACTCAAGCCTCTTCTTTAGTCGAACATCACTTCTTCTGCCTTATTCAACCCTCTCTACTTCTGAAGGAAACAGTGCTCTTTGCCTCATCAATCCCCTTCCGTATCCCGTCGAACTGTTTCAAGGTGAATCTCTTGGACACTTGCATGCCATTGATAAAGAACAAATTTTTACCATGCCGCCAGATTGTTCCGGTGACTACGACGTCATCAGTGCCCTCAACCCTTCCAATATACCACCTTGCGAGCTTTTCGATTCATCGATTGCCGACGGACTATCGCCATCTGAACGCTCTGAGCTCGTTCAGCTGCTCTACCAGTTTCATGAATCCTTTGACGTTGCTCAGCCTACCCTTGGCCGAACTTCCAGTTTTTTCCACTGCATGGACACAGGTTCTAACGCCAGTACGACAGCGACCATACCGTG